GATAAGGCATTTTCTCTCAGTCGACCATAGGGCAAACAGAGATTAGTGGGTGGTGCTTTTAAGTAAATAACATGAAATGAAAAATAAATTTTATTTAACACTTAATAAACACTTTTCTAAATATAATTTACATACCTGCTGCCTTAACTGGGGGCTCATTGGCATCAGGATCGGGTTTTATAACTATTTCCTCTGTTGCAACCGTTGCCACTTTAGATGGTGGCACCACGGCACGTTGAGGCTTTGGTTCTGTTAAAACGTTGTAACTTTTATGACCACACAAATAGTCAAAACCAAATAAAAAGTCAAAAGAAAATTTGTAAATATTAGAAACAATATATCAACCACAACACATTTTTCTCAATTATGCCAACTTTTATTTATTAAGGTTTTGTGGTAGACCTGCAGCACTGCGATCTTCACAAATCTATTGGGCTCGCCCTTTTGCCCTTTTCGCCCTTTTCAAATTTCGCTACCTAGACCCGTCACGGACAATAAGTGTCGTAAAGAGCCTGACAGTGTAAAACGGGGTTGTAAAAAAGATAACAGGGTTTTACCTGGGGGTTTGACTTGTGGGTTGTTCAGAGCTGGTTCAGGCTGTTCTATCTTTACTTTTGTTACAGCCACCGGTTGCACCTTTGGTTTTGCGACTTCGGGACCCTGCGGCGTTGGTTTTGCAACCATTGGACGTTGAGGCTTTGGTTTTGCGACTACTGCACGCTGAGATTTTGGTTTTTCGACTATTGGACGCTGAGGCTTTGGTTTACAGACGACTGGCCGCTGAGAGTTTGGTTTTGCGATAACTGGACGCTGGGGCCTTGGTTTTGCGACTACTGGTTCTGTGATGAACAAAACATACATTAAAATTTACTGTAAATTTAATACATTTTAAAGATAGTAATGTGGACTAAAACCCCCATTGTTAACAATGTACCATATCAGGTTGACCTCCACGCGGTGCACCCTAGACTAACTGACCTGACCTCATGCTCATCCTATCATCCATCACTGTTGCCCCGTCAGTGTAAGGCCCCGGTAACGCAAGCGGGTGCATAACTCCATAATCATCATTAAGATCCTCATTACTTGCCTAGTGATGTAACCGGAGCGGGGCCTGGTCTCATGAACTTTCTTGCAACCGGTTGCTGCAGTCTAGGTCTTGGGCCTACAGGTTGAGGCGTTCTTGATTCTGTTAAGTATAAAATCTTTACATAGTATTGAACAAAGTCGCCGTTGCTGTCCGTTCGGTCATAGCATTTAAATTACTTAAAGGATTTTAATGCAGCAATAGATAGAGTGATTCAAGAGGAAGATCCATATGTATGATATATGCATGTTATAGTATAGAACAGAAATTCGAAGATTTGTAATGCATCTGTGCGGAACTGGGATGATATACTTAAAAAATAGAATACATTATATGTTCCATGATGGAAATTTGTGTGAAGACTATGATTTATTAAGTTTAATTGATCATAATATGGGGTACAAAATGAGGTCCTAATGGTATGTAATTTGACAAAATGTTACAAAAATTAAGAACCCTCCTAGAAGTGAGGCAATGGTCCTAGATTTCTCCGACGGCTTGTTATTTAAGTTACACTTTGTACAGTGTGACTTTCTATAATTCTCCCTAAATGTGTAAACTATTTTTTCCTAAGAGGAAGAAGGCCGTCGGAGTCGTTGGCTGGACGGTTTGATACAAGGATTTATGTAGTTTCCTTTCTTCTGCACCTATGAATTTATAACTTAAATAAGTGAACATATTCCATACCCGTCGGTTTAATGTATTTCTTAACCGGTACCGGGGGTTTCACGAATCTCTTCTCTTCTGTATCTGGATGCTGAAATCTTTGCTTTAGCATTCCGGGAGGTCCTCTTTTTCCTGTAAGGTAATAAACAATATCCATATGGTAAACAAGGCCATCTGGTATAAACCTGGTATTTTATAGGTGTAGCTGCTTAACAAATTTTCAACAGCTAGATAATAGACAATAAACAAATATACAGTAGAGACATATTGCATAGCGCTATTTAGTTCCAACGGACATTGTGATAACATATAATGAAATATAACTAATAATCTTACATTTGACAGAATTATAATTAATATTACAAAATAAATATAACCCTTAGAGATGAATTAATACAGTCCAAATTACTAAATATTAAGAATTAAAAAACACATTTCCCGTGCCATTATCAAACCCTGATCCACCATCAGCATCTGTAATAATCACCATCTAAAATACAATAAATTTACTAAGTTATCAAGAAGTTGGATTGGACGTGTTACAGTATCAAGCCCAGATTACAATTGATATCGTAGTGAGCATATTATACTGAATATTGATAACCTAAACATTATATATGGGAAGAATTTTTATAACCCTAAACTTGCTATAAAACTACCGAGAATAGTTTATGCGTCGACTGCAAAAATTGCTGAGAAAGATGTATGTGCCAAGCCGACTTTTGACGAAGTCCAATTCGGTCAAATTGATTTTTCAAAGAAAGTTAAAGGCGAGTCCGTTAAAGGCGCACTGGACAAGCGACTTCTAAGCTTACCGAATTTCGTAGAGAAAGCCTTACGGTATAGAATCAAGTGGCTTCAGTATCTAGCCTAATATTTTATTTACCAATTTTCGAATAACTGAAATCGTACGTTGTTGTTAATTCTCAATCTTAATGTATTAAGGAGCCCAATTTTCGATTATATATATTATTTCCCTTCAAAATCAAAGCCAAGAATTAAGATCTTCTGGATGGCATGTAGTTACAAGAGAACAGAAATAGAACACTGAAACATTCTTTTCTGCTACCAGATAATAGAAAACCTCCTAAAGGATGTGGATGATAAAAGTGGCGATAGACCCTCAGGAAAGAATATAAACCTGAAGAATAAAAGAACGAATGACTTATAAAATTAGCTGGAAAGTAAAAGATTAAATGGAGATATAGAAAATTGTAGTAGCAGCAAATAAAATAACAGGAATGACGCTGTTTTGTGGAATAAGACATTTTTAATACATTACATCTTATGCACATACAGACATATACCATACAGGTCCCTGTAATAATACCTTTTAAATACTGATGCTCATAAATGTGACTCCTCTTGTGAACAAGTGAAACGAGTCTGGAGATATTTCGAGTGATGTCAATACGCAGACAGGTGCAGATTTCCAAAAATTAATGACATACATGCATTATTGTTGAAGATGTTAAAAGAATTTACCAAGTACTATCCAATAGTTCTTAATGCTAATATTAAAATTAATTAACGGGATCCTGGAGCAGTGTTGTTAAACTCGCTTACAAATTAGTCAAAATATTATAAACAGATATTTTACGTAACTTAAATTACGTGGCTGCCGTAATAATTTTGGCAATATAAATTTGTATACTCACGATTTAGACATACGTAACGAAACGTGCTTGTATGCTTCTAAAATGAATATGTTATTATACAAACCAAATGATAAGAATGCAAAATACTGCAATATTGCAGTATTTTGCATTCTTCCACGCTGATTATTTCCCTAGTAGCTCAATGGTTGCCTCACGTATCTGTGGAAATGAAGATATTCTACATACCCGCGTAAAACTGGAAACATTGACAAATCCGCTCACATCCATGTTCTTTTTTTTAATATAACTAAATATAAAACAATTAAACATATTACTAACCTTGTAGGAGTTCTAAGTGATTCTTCTTTCACAGAGACACCAATTTCGAATGTTCCTGACGTTCTCAGTTGGTTTGGAATAAAGATCGACTTTCTCGACACTTGCTGCTGTATGTTGGCTACTGGAACTGTAAACTTGCTGACTGAAACTCTTAATTTTAAGTATGAGACATTGATAATCCAATATAAAAAATGTTATGACTAATAATTATACTAGCCAAACTGTTCTTCTTGCTGTTGAAATTGCAGAGCATTAGGCATAGTTGTAGAAGAGCAAGTAGATGGTGTTCGTGGTGTTATAAAGCAAATTCTCAGCATTCCATCAATAAGTCAGGTCCAATAGATTCTTAAAAACTTATAAGCTACAAAATTCTATTTGGAAAGATTAGCTTGGATCCGTAAATTTTTAATATTTTAAATTGTTTCTAAACGAATGAAATTATTCATTTGTCCATTGAAATGTGGAATAGAATTTCTGATTATATTTATTTATATGCATAATTAGTTATCTGCAAAGCTAACAATATCCTTTATAAGTATAATATTTAAAGTAAAATATAGCAAAATTTAATTTATATTTGATAAGTTGGTTGCCAGTTAAGAACATATTTATTTATATTGAAAAGATATCAAGGTACACGTCTTAAAAATAACTTTACGATGAAATTCTTCATTACTAAGCGGTCCTAAAATGTCTCCAATGAGAAGCTAGTCGCTAATGTAGTCTCTAACTCGAAAATGTAGTCGTAGTCCCGAGTTACTAGATCACATATATACGAATTATGAAGTAGCTCATAAATTATATTGTATTATTTCATTCATTCATAATTTAAGAGCTACGCTCTTGTCGGTGGAGCTCTTGCCACTTTCCGCGATCTTCCATCATGCTCTTTAATTCTTGATACGACACGACTCCCATTTTGTCCTCAATTTGTTTGTTTTATATACATAACTAAATTTTACTGCTCGTTTCTAAAAATATAAGCATGCTTCTAGCCTTTTTATTTTAAAGTGAACGTGCAGACCTTATTGTGTGCGCTGATATAATACGACGAACCGAATTATCAACAAGTGGTGATGACAAGATTGGTTTAGTTATTACTAAATGTGGGTCTACGATTTAATTGCTAATAATTTAATTTAAACAACACCGATTTCATCAACTTCGAAGAAATAGGGACTGAACCCATACTAAATACTGGAAACAATGACGTGTGACAAATTCTTAAAATTCCAAAAAAAATCATAAAATAACTCATACTTTATTAGCCACAAATCAAAACAGAAAATACTAACAATATAGATGAATCCTTAACATAATATTTAAACATATTTGAAACAAACTTCCTCACAACAAAATGATAACCTATGGGTTAATTTCACCCAAACATTCGACTTCATCTGAATCCGATTCAGTATCTAATTCCATATTAGCTACATCATAACTATCCATTTGTTCCGATTTGTATTTCTTTATGGTGTCCAACAATTTCTCTTTCGACATTTTTGGTTGGAAATAAGCAGTATGGGTAATAGTTGATCTGTCCCCTAGTAAGTAGTCTAAAGCAAATTTCATCTTAATAATCGTCTCGACAGATTCCATATCGATTTCCACTTCGAGTTGACTTTTATTTTTAAGTGAAATAAACTGTTTTGGTTTCCACATACTAAAGTTAAGATTTTTCACGCCTTGATTACTCTGTTTCAATCGTTTGGCAATTAGTGACATGCATTTGTTGGATTCAAAAGGAACGGTTACGTACATGGTGAAATATTTAGTGTTCCTATCATCGCCGCCAACTACTACAACTGGCTGTCGATTCAGCTTCCCTATATTGCGACTCAGCAACCACTTTTTTGATTCAGAGTTCGCTGGAATGACCCCAAAGTGATTTGGCGTACAAAACCCATATTTCTCGAAATCTGTTCTACTCCCACCTCCATCTTCATGGTATTTAAACATGTTGTATATGACCATGTCTTTTATTTTCCTTCCTTGTTGTAATGTTAGTGTCTTGCTTCCTTTGAGCTCTATTTTAATAATATTCGGGTCATTTTGATTGAGTGAGGGCATGGGAGAATTTGCAATAGCCGATCGTATATCTTCCTTAGATAACACTGATTGTTCAATTAAACCAGCGTCGAAGGCGTCTTTGTCTACGGCAGATGCTCTTAAAAGTACACTAACTTTATGTAATTCGTAGCTAAGCATCAATTTGTCTTGTTCAATAAGTCTGGCAGATGACGGTGGCATGTCGACATACAGTCTCGTACCTTTTATATTTAAGATCTTTTTAACTAACTTCCACTTACCTATGTTCAGTTTCTCTGTTTTACGATTCTGTAATTGGAGTTTAATAAAAGGTTCTTCGAAGCGATACCTAGAATGACCGGGCAACCAAATAGCAGCGCGTTCATACCACAACTCCTCGTTGGTATATACTAATACATTGAACCTCGTGAAGTCACTGAAATCTAATGTGAGAAGCCATTCTTTCGACTGGGGGTCACCTGTTATCAATTCGTAGCGATGATGACTCTGTAAACCTTTAAACATGAAATTAGGAGCCCAACCATCCGACGTTTCTGTTACGTTAAATATTTTGGACACAACAAATTGTTTTAATTTCTCCGTATCAGTATCAAACAGCGGCTCAAAATCGTCCTTGCACAGATATAAGTGAAATCCATCGTCTTCCTGTTCAATCGGCTTTATATCCTCGAAGCTTTGAACTGACGATTGGTAGACATACATTTGTTCCTGCGAAGCTGTATCAAATGTATAACCGGGAACCATGACGGTATTCACGTCATCAATTGGTGGTACCGGTAGGGGGCAAACATACTCCATGTTGATAGTTGGATTTGTAAATCCAACGTTCATATTCCAACCTGCACCTGTTTGAGATTCAAATATATGTATCATTGTTTATATCAATTTCTATACATGTTAATATTAAACCAAATAATAATTGATATTTATAATTATACTTACTGTACGTTTGGAAAGGCAATGAGGATGAATCTGAATCTGAAATTGACATTAATTATGAAATGTAATGAATTAACATTGAAACAAAACATTTTAACATAAATCAAAGGTAGAAATATAATTAATTGCATTGTTTTCTCACCTTTCAAGTTTAGGTCAGGAGAACGTCTAAAAGTCTTCGCAGGAATATCAGATGTTTCTGAAATTAACAAAGTTAAATTTAGTAAATTCTATGAAACCATATACTATGAGAAATTGCTATTTTATTAAAGTCAGCTTAAAATGTAAGTAATAATTACATGTACATTTTTTACGATTAGAATGGCGAACAACCTGGGCTATGGTTATATAAGTTATAGGCTCATATTATGAAAAGTGGTATAAATTCGCATACAAACATGAACAGCACAATGGCCATCTCGACAACCGCGGTATCTTAAGGGTTGCTGTGTAGAAGAACAATAACAACAACAAAACCACAATAAAACAATAAGTATTCGAACTTATCTTGCTAACAGTAAACTCCGAATATTTAGATAAGGTACAAAGCGTAATAAATTTTGATAAAATTGGGGACGTAACACTTGTAACTACTTTTTGTTGCGTAATTTTTATAAATGAAATCAACATGATACCGGTGGATTGCAAAATCTTACCTGGAGCTGAACGTTTCATGTTTCTGTAGTGAGGTTGTAATTTCGACATCACATCATTAAATAATTTATCTTCATCATGTCCAGCAAATTTACTATTAAACTTTATGACCATCTCTATAAAAGATACATCTTGGTCCCCAAACATATCATATAACTGTTTAAACAGGACATTTTTCAATTCTTCTGAAATTTGATGTTTCATCTCTTCACTATGTATGACATTAAAATGTTTCTGTATAATTGTATTACAAAGTTCATCGCATGCCTTATCCCTTTTGACCTTTATTGCAGCATCTAAAATTGTCCACTTTTTAACATTGCCCGTTTTCCATTCTCTTTCTCGACTTGATGTGTGATATTCATCGGAGTGATGAGAACTTGGGCGTTCTTCGTGTCTTGAGTGACGATCCTCCTGACGAGGATCGTGGAAATCCCGGCGTGGCTCCTCATCACGGCGGAATTGCCTCTCGTCCCTATGTTCATCATCTCGGCGACGTTCTTCAGGAATCGCTCTCCTGCGATCATGTCTCCGCAATTCATCTGTTTTCTTAGCAAATTCGACGGCTCTTTTGTAAACGTCGTCAAGTTCTTGGTCAAATTTTTCCTGTCTTTTTGTATAGTCTTCCATTCTCTCCTCAGGGCGCCGAGGTAATTCTTGTCTTCTCAATTCATCACGGTGTGGTTCACGCTCCGAACGCGGTGGCAATTCGCGATAATCATCCCTATCACTACGATGCTTTTGATCGTGAATCTCTTGCGGACGGAAGTTTTCACGTGGACTAAATTTGGATTGATCTCTCTTAGGGAATCTCTCTTCTTCAATCTTAAAGGGCCGAACTGGGGAATCCTGTCTATGACCTGAACGGAGCGGTTCTCGCAGTCCTACATCCCGGCGCGATCGGCTTGAATCATCTCCAAATGGTTCAATCTGTGGGCGTCTGTCTCGATGAGAGTCTTCATTCTTTTGGAGAAAAGTAGATCGCTCCCAAACCATAGGTTTGGTGGGTTCATTTTTATCGTGAAAGTCAGGTCTTCTGGATCTTGAATATTTATCTTCTTCGTGTAAATTTTGTCCCGGCCAAATGGGCGGGGGTGGCGCTTCTACAGGGCTTCTGCGTTTTTCTAGTGCCCACGAGCGACGTGGGGATCGAGGCGATGGTGAATGACGTCTGTAACGATCTCTAAGCGGAGAACGTTCACGGCGAGAAGGCGATCGCGATTTTCGAGGCGACGGTTGCCGTTTCATATCAACTCCATGATCGGGCAACCGGTCGGTCCCTCTAGACATCCTCTCTCTTCTATCTTCTTCTAATTTCTTCAGTGGAAAGGAAAGTTTTTCTCTGTCTTGCCACGAAGAGTGTTCTCCTTGACGTCCCCCAGGTATTGGATACTGAACATTCTCGCGAACATTTGGACGATAACCACCTGAGTACATAGCTTGATTTGGTGCCTGGAAATTGAAATGTTATTTGCAAACACAATTATATCATTGAAGAAAGAAATTAATCTTTCTATATTGTCATATTAGTAATCAAAATTTGCCAGTATATAAATAGTTAGAATATTTCTATTCTAATAACGATGCTATAAATAAAAAAATGTAAAGCAAACACAATTGTCGTCTGTACGCCCTAGATTTTTTTTATAAGTATATTAACATTATCATTAATATCCACGTTACCTTTTAGAATACGTGCATTACATTACGGTATTCTATTTCGTGTCCATCTTATAATTTTAGAGGTACACGAATACATCTGTAGTAAAATAGATTTGTAGCAAATTGAATAGTGTATTTCCCGTATTGTTCAGAAATGCATCAAAATTAAACCAATACTGAAGCACCAGTGTTCTTGATTAATGTTAATCTGTATTAAACACAGTAAACATGAACCGTCTTCAATATACAGAAAAATCAGATGAGTCTATGTCGACGAAATCAAAGGTTCGCGCGCTGCGCTTGTTCAATCCAATTATTACATTGTATAACGGTCCTCTTGACATAAAGTTTTATAGAATACAAATCAGTTTAGTAAAGTAGTTTTGAAGTTATTGCAACACAATGTTGACCATCCATATTTGTTTTAGCATTCATAAAATGTGAAAAAATGTGTGTGTTTCCCTTTTTTAAATATGTTGATTTACATTAATTCGGTATATGGCTCCTATTAGATCATTTATTTTTACATATATTTTTTTATTTATTGTGTATATTTTTGCTCGGTGAGACAAATTATATTCTTGAAAACACTCGGTATTTAATAGTATCAAGAAACCTGTAAACCCGTAACAATATGAACACAACAGACTATTATAGTATATATTATACATATAATAATCTGTAAATTTGTGTATATTATCATAATGTAAGTATCCACAGTTTTTATGTGTTGTAGTAATAGTAATATAAAGGATTTATAGTCAATATTTTTTTTTAATACCACCACACTTATAGATTGGCTTAGATCATATTTGGAGTAGACAAATCCATACACATGGTTTATGGTTGTACATATAATATGTATTAAACAATACTTTTCTATTCTATTCGTGTATTTTCGGTTCTATTTTTATTTCATAAGCTGATGTTAATTTAGTGCTTCGCATTATTGATATCAGATGCTTTTATATTTTTGGTAGACCATAAAGATTGCTGAAACTTGCGATGTCACTCTCAAATTTGTCAATAATAAAGTCTATGTATGTTGTTTTATGTTACAATTTTATTTCACAGTACATTATTTTATGCACTAATGAGCAAAAATATATAGTGGTTCACTGACTTTCTTCAAATAAGAGCACTATGTACCATGTCCTTCATTTACTATTATTTCTGTTTCATCGAGTCAACATATAATGTAGAAGTTAATTGATATAACGGATTAAGATATATGTACCCTAGAAATATACATCTCTTATCCGACCACAGCCACACAGTTAACCCTAGTTTAGAAGCCAGTATTACACATAATGTAAATCTGATTTATACTATAAAATCCATTATTGATATCTACAGTTGAATCCTACTGCATATCACGTCAGTATTAGATGAGGAGTAAGCAATATTCTTGTTCTTCTCATGGAAATTGCTGAAGATCAGCAGAATTACCCTAACTTAAAGACTGTCGTTCGGCGAAGTGATCTTAGTTTCATTCTTAATGTGTATCGAAGTTTTTTAATCTGGAAATCAGTTTTCAATCAGCCTGCCTGGAAAGAAGAAACTCTGGCAATGAATTCCAATCCAATGAAATTGAGTAGCACCGTTTAACACCTTTTTGTATTCTTAAAATAAAAAAAATCAACGAAAGAACTAATCAAAATAGATATTGATTAATATTGGTTTCATCTTGTTACGTTTCAAAATAACAATACTAAAATGTATTGAAATAGAAATTAAGATTAGGCTCCATAGATGACCTGCAGGCCTCTAAAGTTTTCAAAATTGTAAGTTGCTCTTCCACATAGTCTATGACATCTGGTTATGTATGTAAAATTATACACACCACATCGATGTGAGACTCAACACTTTGATTTTTATACATTAATTAATTGGCGTATATATTTAAATAAAGTATCCAGCCAGTACAATGGCCATATGTTCTCTTCTTAGCGTTTCTTTTGTTCTTTTTCTTTCTAATAATAATTTCTTACTCACATTGACAGAATATAATCCATTATTGATTAATTATTCATTCTCACTTAAAACAAAATCCTCCTTTCTGTAATAAATGTAGAAGAATCTAGTGTCGAATAATTAATTGTCAATATGCCATGGTAGACACTGTACTAGAAGATAGCTTAATACAAAAATAAAATAGTACGTTCACGATAGGTTCGTCCTATGCCACGTTGAATTGAAAATATACTCATGACAATGTTCATCATGAAATCTAAAGTTTTCAATGCCATATTACTTGTTCTATCTGGACTTGTTTTATATACAGCCGTGAGTATAGATAGATTCTCAAATTGTAGTTTTAGTCTAAACCTAGCATGTTTTCTCTTCCAGCTTATTCCATTTGTAACCAATTTTTTTTTTAACTTTCAGGGTGTACATATATACATCATATATTTTGGAAATGGCGAGAGTTTTTTTAAACGACTGCATTTGTTTCTTATAATTTGAAAACCAGCGCCGCACAGGAGCATCATGTCGGCATTCGTTGAACCAAAAGGACCCCTTTTTGGCCGCCTTTAATTAAATATCCTTTAAATGTATTTTCTATTTCAATTGTAGCAATAAACGATTCTTATTTTTATATTACTCTCTAAAAATTCACAAATTTCATAAATATCTTCCTGCCTCTTTTATCTAATTTTAGCTTTATGAAGGTTAAATATTCGAGGTGAAGCTAGTTCGCAGACGATAATGCTATATTTGCATCCCTTTGGTAATCCTCGTCTTTTCAAAACATGTATGATCAAGTTGTGGATATGATATACAATTTCAGTTAACCGTAGGTTGCTATCTTCTCTTAGAAGGATATTACTCCATTACCATTACATACTGAACTTAATACCCATTCTGTTCAAATTATATTTTAAAACGTTATGAGTGTCCTTCCCAACATATAGCCGAAAAATATGTTTTTAACAATTTACCTCTAAGAATATAAGAATGAATATCCTAGGTATCCTGACATATAAAACGCCGGCAATATGTAGCCAAATCATACCTTATAGCCGTATGATTGCCAATGGTAATGCTGCTTACAATTTAGCTAAGAAATGCGAAAATCCAAGCTAGCCTTTGATGATCCATGAATATTTGACACTTACATATTACTTAAGAATGTGGCAGCGTTTGATAGTAATCAACAACAATTATATTACACACTCTTACGATAAAATTTTACGCATACTTTATTTCGTCGTATTAATTTATTTGAAGATCTCCATGTAATCTTGTATATTGATATACATACATAATACCACTGTAGTATATTCAGTTATATAAAAAATATACATGACGACAAAAAGTTTCAATTCAATGAAATCATTCGGCAACCTATTATATTGTCTAGTCAAAGGTATATGTATAACATATACTATAGTCATAGTATGTTATCATAAGTTATATTAACATATCAACTAACCTGTGAATCTGGTTCGTATGCTGGCCTCACTTGTTTAGGCATCGAACGTGTGGCTTCTGACTTCTCAGAGTGAAGACGAGACGGCGAGTACCTTTTAATAATACATCTTTTCTTAAAGAGCACACATACTAGCAAAGAGGATAGACTTGATACTTTTCTTTGTGATAGATAAACTCAAAAATACTGTGCCAAATTACAAAAAAAATACGTTTATGTAAAGTTCTTTTTTGTAAATATTTTTCTGTACATAATAAAGAGTTATAACATGTAACATAAGTACACATCTGATTTAAGTATTATAAGTGTTAATAAAAATGAAAGTTTACATGATGCCGTGTCTGGAGTCTGGCTGCAGCCGCGGAGACTCCGCGCGGTGGCTCGAAGGACCAGCCCGCTCAGGCGGACGACGATCGCCTATAAACATATTAGATAGATATATTATGTATTTATTCACAAATTTCAAACACAGCATAATTAAGGTACAGATAAAATAAATACACAAATAACAGAAATGAGCTTTAATGCTGCAAAGGTGAATAGGCAATCAACTCACCATAATGCTCCAGATAAAAATGCATATAATATTGAAACAATAACAGAATGAGGCAGCAATGAGAGATTTATATACCAAGCTAATAGGTGATACCCGCATTACGAATCACGCATTGCTATTCCACAGGACTAAGCTACCATGCCTCATATCCTGGAATTTTACACTCTAATTTGAATTCTTGAACCGAAACACAATTTACAAAGCAAGCTGCATGGTGGCTGAAATAGGCGAGCCTGAGTTACCCACGCAGACAACTTTTTACAATCTACTTCTGGTATTATTGATAGTGCCAACAAAATGTTATAAAGTAACATTTGAGTTGCATAAGATTTATTATAAATATCGTACCTGGTGACATTCTTCTAGCAGATGGTGACATCCTTCTTCCAGATGGTGACATTCTTCTGCCAGATGGTGACATCCTTCTGCCAGAGGGCGACATCCTTCTGCCAGAGGGTGACATCCTCCTGCCAGATGGTGACATCCTTCTACCAGATGGCGACATTCTTCTACCAGAAGGTGACATCCTCCTGCCCGGTGGTGATACCCTTCTGCCAGGTGGTGATATACGTCTTCCAGATGGCGACATTCTCCTTCCAGGTGGCGAAAATCTTCTTTCAGATGGAGAAATCCTTCTGCCAGATGGCGAATTTCTCCTACCAGGTAGAATAGACCGTCTTCCTGGAGACAGTCTTCTCTCATCTGGACCGCCATGAGGTCTATCATCTTGTCCACCACGGGGTCTCCCATCTGGACCTAATAATCCATGTCTCCCATCTGGTCCACCACGGGGTCTCCCATCTGGACCTAATAGTCCAAGTCTCCCATCCGGACCACCACGGGGTCTCCCGTCAGGACCACTGTGGGGTCTACCATCTGGACCAACATGAGGTCTCCTATCTGATCCGCCATGGGGCCTTTCTGGAGACATTCCTCTAACCATCGGAGATCTCTGTGGTGAAAAACCACGCGTTTTCTCATACATATTACGCCCTTCCGGATTCTTCGGGCCACCTGGGTGTCTGTCTGAATATTTCCTCTCATCTTCATATTGAGATTTAAATGGAGGATTGTCTTTTGAGAATGGTTGAGGTTTTTGTTGTGGGCCCTGACAAACAAATTTTATTCTTTATTTTTAATGTTATATTTTATACCTAAAATGTATAAAATAATGATCAATTGAAAAAATCTACTATATAATATTTGTACTATATAGTAGATAGACTGAAGATAATAGATAATATACTATATATATATATATATATATACTAATAACAATTGATAGAACTATCAATTGGTATTAGTTAAAGTTGGTATAAGTTAAATTATATAAACTCATACTTGTTGCCAGGATGGTTGTCCTTGATTGGGATAGTTCTGTGGATGACCCTGCTGATTGGCAGAGTACTGATTCGGACCTTGGAAATTGTCTTTCATTATTGTTATCTGAAAAACAAATGTTTAGTAAACACCGGTGATCCATTCCATTGCCACCGGATTTTAACAATTGGTAAAAGATCTATTGTGGGTACTTGTCACAATGTCGACGTTAGTACAGTAGTCATATGATTAAAGCAGTTGCCATCTTGATCTCTCGATTTTTAGCAGTTACCATCGACTCTCACAACAAAAACAAAGCAAATTGTCAAAACATAATAATAATACCTTAACAATTCACACAATACCATCTAATCACAAGCTAAGCAGAGCTTTTATTACAGATAGATACTAGACAACAACTAACTAGACATTGCTACAAACAATTATACTTATAAATACAAAATGTTTGTAAAGTGCGAGCAATCGATCCTCCATCGGAAAGGAGGAAGTTGGAATATCAAGTAAAGCAATGTACTAAACCACTAGACTACTGAGACCGTCCATTATTAAGTAACATTAAAATGGCAACAATTGCCTGTCTATATACTTCCATTTGGCACATGCGTACCATTTTCAAATTTACTATTTTGTTAACATACAAAGAAAAAAGTTAGCACACATGTTCATCTTTAGTTAAATAACAAAAAGGATATGTGAAACACTTACTGATTTCTGTTGTTCAAAATTCTGATTTCCGGGGAACCGTCCAGACATGTTCTGGCGGTTTAAACTTTGATCCACGATCTCGACATTTCTCAGCACATGTGAACGCGCGTCCAGACGCCGGGGTTGTTGCTGTAAACAACTCTGGACTAGTCACATAGAGCCATCTAATCCCAAGCTAAATAGAGCTTATGTTATAGGTACAAGACGGACATAAACGCAAAGATACATTTTTTCTAAATACATAGATAATGTATGTAGAATATACTAAGACCAATATTAAAAATTATATTCATGAATACAAATGTTTGTATTGTGTGAGACTGGACTTACAGAGTCATCTAGTCCCAAGCTAATCAGACCTTATGTTATGGCTACTATACAACTGAAAATACATAGATATTTTTTTCTGTATATACAAACATAATATACCATATATAGAAAACACACCCATCAAAAAAAACATCATATTGATGAATACTAATATTTGTACTGTGCAAGGAATAAAACCCGCGACCAACAAAAGTAAGGCGGCGTGGTAAACCGCTAGACGACCGAGGTCGTCAGATCAGTGAGAATGACAATAATAACCATGGACTATTTATTTAGTCCTTTAGTCACAAGGTAAGCCTTGTATTATGAGTACTAAACAACTGATAGAAATGCTTAAATATATATTTTTTTGTAAATACACAGATGATACATTATATAGACAACACTCAGACTAATACAAACAATCATATTCATGAATACAAATATTTGTATTGTGCGCAGAATCGAACCCGCATCTGAAGGAAGGTGGAGTGCTAAATGGTGAAGCCATCAAATTATAAATAGATTATATTTTAAGTAGGAACATACAGGATCAGGCATCAATGCTTTTGTAGCCACCGGTCTCACACCTCCAGAGAAGACAGGTTCTTGCACGGGCAACCTATTCAAGAATGGCTGCACAGTTCTTTGTCCCTGAGCTTGTTGCTGGAATAGAACAGTTAAATATGATTTGCAGAACTTCAAACATCAACATCATCATCATCAGTCCTCTGCTGGACATAGGCCTCATAAAAATCAAAGTAATTTGAGAACTTGAATTTCACAGTGCATTTTGAGCCTGTTTTGATATAATATAATTTTAGATTTGTTTAAATGTAAATGGAATAGTAAGTAAATGGCATACCTAAGGGTAAATTATAACCATACTATATACTTGAACATCACTATGAGCATCACATTATTACATGAAACTCCCCAAACCACAGAGGAATCATGCTATTTAATTAAATGGTCAAGAAAGCTGCATTATGGGATGTTTATTCTTGTCTATGAGGACAAAAAAAAATATTGATACACAAATCTTTAATCAATGGTCAACATATTGCCAAAATTATTTCTCAGTATGGGAATTTTTACCACCAAAAATGTCAGCCCATTGTGGAGAATTCACCAATGGTTTCCAAAAAGCACATGGACATTGACCTAACATGGTGCACTATTAGTAAGTGACATACTACAGTTATATATACCTGTTGCTGTCCATAACCAGGGTTTAGTGTTGATTGCTGGTAATTGAAGTTGTTCCCTGCATTTGGAATCTGTTGATTTTGTGCCCATTGGTTGCCAGCCCAGGGTTGTACTGATCGTCCTGGTTCTGGTCGGTCGTAATCAGTCATGTGATTGGAGAACTCATTTCGTGCAGAAAAATTGTTACCCCTTTGTTCAAATGTAGGTTGTGAATTGTTTATGGGCTGAAAAAAAAAAAGAATCATTGTAAAAACTATTTTTAAATAAAATGCATAAAATAAGAGTTTCTTAAGCCATATATTTAATACATTGTATTGGACATTCAGATAGATAGATGAAAGGAGAATAAATAAGAACACATCCTGAATTTGAATTAAAGCAAATGCAGGAAGGGGATGCTCTAGGTACACAAACATTTTTTTAGAAATTATGTTAAATTAATATTTGAGATGGCAATCTCAAATATTATAGCCTAGTGATTTACCACCATAAATAATATTCAAAAGGTAGCAAGTAGTAATTTAGCGGAGACATAAATCTTGATATCAATATTCCTGACTGTGTCTTTGGTTACTGAAACTCAAATTTCAAACTAAAAAAGCATCCAATAGACATGGGTAAACTTGTATCTGCCACATTGGATTCAGTGTATCCTATATCCCTAGATCATTTTTAATTTGAATACATTTCATTGCAAGGTACAGCATAAAGGTACTTATTATTACATATTATCTTAAGGATTAACAACTTACTGTTTTGCCCATGGGCACTACCCTCAAAGCTTGGCCGCCCACCCTATATCCATTTAAACATTTCATTAAATTAGCGCCTTCCGCTTCGTCAGCCACGCCAATTCTGATTTTCTTAAACCCATCTTCGTCAGTAACTAAATTATCCAAAATGTAGTCCCCTAGATTACATTCTCGCCTGACAATAACTTTCACGTCATGATATTTTGTCTGTAAATAAAGTTTATTGTTAAATTTTATTGAAGAAATTAAAAAAAATTAAACTATAAATACACTTACAGTCAGAGGTAAGCCATGAATTGTGAGCATCATCTTGACTGCACAGTTCTATTACAAAAGAAATTTCTGAAATGTATGAAACATTACATAAAAGAAAATTATATTATCTTTATTTCTAAATTTAATTGATCTTTCTAAAACGAAATACAATATCAAAATTCACTGTTATATTCTATAATCCACTGATAGATAAGTATAGAATGCAAAGAATATACTACTCAAATAGAATGAAAGGAAGACCGAATGATCGAAGAATGATAAACTGTTGAGTTGATGATAAATGTGTCAAATCGAGTTAACTCGACTTATGCTGAGTTCGAGTTAACTCGAGAGGATTTCTCTAACTCGAGTTGGGAGAATTCAACCGGCAAATGAATGAATCAAGTGAAAGAGCGAGAGCGTGATTCGGTTGTTGGATTCGTGCCTTAGTAGGTACAACCGTAGACAGAGAAAGCAAAACTTAGTGAACGCAGTATATTGTCTGAGCAGTGAGCAACCGTCCTTGCATTGATTGCATCGACCGAATGGAACCAACTACAATGACATGTAGTTTTCCGATCATATCATGTCATACTATTTTCACTCGAAACGCCGGGAATTAAGAGGAATTCTCTTGTTTGGAACATTTTCGAATCACTAGTAAGTGGACGTGTAAAATATAAGAAATACTCGGATTACTTTTAAATGGGAATACGAGCTCGTTATTGAAGAATATTAAAAATAAGCGTTCAAATAGGAGTTGACCTGCAGCCATGCATGCGTTTCATAATTCCTTCCGCGGGTTTAAAGTGCCATGTTCACGCGCCCCCTATGGTTCGATGAAGCTGTCAAGACCAGACGCTGCCAACAACATTCAAATAGTTCGAAAAATGAAAAAAATAATTGTGTATATACATATACTTTTTTTTTTCAGAAGAAGAGAACCATCTCTAGAAATAATTATTTACGAGTGAATGAATGAATGAAATAAACGAATGATTGAGACTGATGTTGCTTGGCATATGTAGTGAAATAATAGTTCGCGACTGAGATGCTTAATTTAGTTTGCAGACCTCCGAATTAGTTCGTTTGCTATTGGGGAGTACAGAATGGAAGTGTTCATATTTCCGGCTAATAAGTTATTTTCTGCGTATATATATTTGTACTAGTTTTTTTTAAGATGAAGATTTTGAGCATGATTTGCTTTTTATACTAAAAGTAAAAAACTTCCGTGTTTTTTGGGCACGTTCTTTCGAACTAAATCGCTCACAAACACGAACTACTATGCAGTGATTTCACTTCAGTTATTATTTCCACAGCCCTAAAACAAAAAAAATCTGTATACATTCTATACATAAGACATTCCTATATATAATAAAGTACTCTGTGATATACACTTTCTGAAATTTTCTCTATTATTTTCTATATATTTCTGTCAAAAAAACTGTTCTCTTTATAATTAACATTGCCTTATAACACTATCGCATCACATTTATGTTTGCATTTTATTTCGAAAATATATTTTTATACAATTCACATTCATTAAAATGCTATTAACCATCCACAACTTACCGGGCAACGTGAGTATTTGATCTAAATTGGCAATGAATTCTAAATTTTAGTATTGTTATAAATTCATGTTATTATTTTAAATTTTATGAAACGAAATACGTCTCTATACCATTTTACATTGAGAGCTAACTTTATAATTGTTTGTTCTGAAACGTAGAATACACAATGCATAATGGTTTCCACTTCATCATGTTGTATATTCGTGATCGGCGGGAAGAATTTTATACCTTGAGTTATAGGTTTTCCTCAAAGGCATCATTACGATTCCCACGCAACAAAATTTATATAATAAAATTATTTTTATTGAAGCTGAAGCTCAAGATATTATTATCTTGAGCTTCAAATTATTTTCGGCGGCCGCAGATTTACCAGTATGATGTGATTTGTACACTCAGCAGTTCAACTAACTGTCTAGTTATCTTACCTGGTCATAACTCTCCTGTACTCCAGGGATTATGTATTCAGCCTGAAAAGGTTATAAATTAACCTGTTGCATTGAGTTTACCTCACAGAATGCCAACTCGAAGTGACAGAAAAAAGCAATCAAATTTAATAATAGCTAAATTGGCTGTATACCAAAACTAATCAAAGTAAAAGAAATAAGTACATTAACCTAGGGGTTTTTATAAATATATATATTTATATATATATTCATATTAATATATATGGTGGGCATGTAACAACCAACAAATATATGACTTTCATTATGTATGCTGTACATAACAAATAATTTCTTTACATTTCATTTCTCAATTATGTATGTATTAATTAAAACCTAAATCCTCATAAATGGCTATATTAAATTTTGTGTAATTGTAATGGATTCAGAAAACAGTAATACTTAGTACATGGTGCTGCTTTTCTGTACACTATGTCATACTCTATCAGCAGTAATATGTAAATGATTCTACCAATACATTTTAAATTTTCAGGCTCGCTATTGTGATGTAAAGGCACTTATCAATGAGAAGTGTAATCTGACAGATGTAATATTGGATAAACTCACACCAGAGGGAAAGTGTAAGAAAATAACAGTTGGTGTGTCTAGTGACTATGATGCCAACATTTTGTATTCCAAGTTGAATGGCTTGTATGTGGAAGGACTTCAGTTGTATGTTAAAAATATAGGACAAAATAAGGTACTATACAATATTAATACTAGTTTTTTATTTTTTATGAGTTCTTAGAGACATAGAAACCATTTACTAAAATGTACACCTTATAATATTAATATAAATTGCATTGTAGATGGACTCTAATGGTCAACAATTCAACAAAAAGTCATTCATGAATTATGATCAAAACAACCAGACTCAATACAATAGTCAACAAAATAATGATAAGCAGTATTGGTCCAGTAACCAGATGGAATCTTATCAGAACACTAATCAAAACAATCAGACAGTTCTGAACACTTATCAAAGCATTCAGGCGGGTCTGAACAATCTGGCCGGTATAAAGACTTATCAAATGAACCAGGCTGGTCTGAACGCTTATCCACCAAACCAGCCAGGACTGAACACTTATCAAAACAACCAGCTGGGTTTAAACCCTTATGCTGCCAAAACAATGTCTATGGGTTATAATGTCCCACCGAATATGCAGGCTCCAAATGCAGTAAGTACAAAAACATATTGCACCATTATTTTAATATAACTAGCTAGTCCGGCCAGGCTTTGCATGGGTGTACATGTATTTCCTTAATTTTCCCAAAATAATTCCCATGTAAACCTTCCTCTTGAGTCACTCTATCTATTAGAAAAACTGCTTCAAAATCTATTGCATAGTTTTAAAGATTTAAGCATACATAGGCACAGTGATAGCAAATTTGTTTTATACTATGTAATAATGAAAGGGTACCAAACAAACATGATTAAATTTTTATCATTTATCATTTTCGTTTTATAGGAATATTTTTATTTTGCATTGAGATTTTATATTGATATAAAATTATAAATTGGACAAAAATATATTATTTTTGTATTATTCATTCAGAACAGTCATTGTCATGACTAGCTCTGAAATACAATCTGTTGCCATTGCATATAGCTACCATATATATTTTTGTTGTTGTCTCACACAAAAATATTATCGGTAATACTGGCTTCTGAATCACGTTCACGGATTCACCTGATTCACCTGATCTGATATTACATTGCTGGCAATGGGACCACTAATACTCATTTCTAATCCCTTCTCTCCGAGTTCAAGATTAGGTTTGGTATTGTGACATCTCAACCGACCATAAATCATCATATCAATATTGCAGCAATGAGTATTGTGGGATATATAAAACTGCATAAACCCTGTATGAACAGTGTACTAGAAAAGAGCATGTTTGCATGCCCTTTCATTACAGGTCTTATTAGTCGCGTTAAATGGGCTACAAAATAGATATACTATTTCATCTAAATGCTCGAGGAAAGTGAATGAGTAGTAGAAACTGTATCATAGAAATTAATTTCTATGATACAGTCAGTCAATTAGTTTTTTCAGATTGCGAATTACTGAAGGTTCTAATCTGAAAACAACTGAAATATTATTGTGAGATGGATATTTACCTTTTGGTTTATTGGTTCGAATACCAATGAAGAGATTTGAATAAAGGTCTTCTATAGAAGAAGTCCTGGATTCAAATCCCTTTATTTATTATGTATTATTTAATTTTTGTGGTATGATATGAGAATCTCGCGCACTATTTCAGTACGGATATAGTAAGTGCGCTTCCTGCATTGGGTTTCTATATCTGATCTCTACAGCCACTGACTTTGTACAGCCCGCCACTATCTGGCTTTATCTGTGTGCGAAACGCCTACCTTTTTTGTCGAATCATCATTGCCTTAGATTTATGCCATTATTTGGGGTCACCTAAGTATGTTTTCTTCTTCCACTATCGGGATCAGTTGAAGAAGAGGATGTTTTGTTGAATATCATTCATTTATATAAATTATTATATCTGAAAAATATTCAATTCCAATAGACCGGAAACGCGAAAATTGTCTTGGAAGGTTTGTATCTACTCTGCTTATTGATACTCAAGGATAATGGATATTTTGTTGTGTAACAAAAGTAACTTCAATAATTGCCGCTGGAATTTCGACGCCGTCATTGAATAGGCGGGACACATTTTGCACACTGGGGCGGCGCTGCACTAACTTCGTAGTGGCAATGTAGTGCGCGATGTTCCTTATCAATGCTGGATAGCTTTGACCAGCATTAGGACAATAAATACTGTTTGTTTTGTGATATGAGTTAAGAGTAAGTTACTCCTTTGTACTCGAACACAAACTCATGTGTTTTGCGTCTAATTTGTTATCGGACCTAAACTAACCGTTTGTTATATGTGTATGTTCTCCACAGTATGTTTACAATCCAAAACGTATGTGGTAACAGTTTTCAACGATCACTTATTTATATGACCACTTCGCAGAACAATTATATGGGTTACAATACGCAACAGCAGCAAGCGATTCCTCCGCTAATCCAGTATCCAGTTCCCGGTTCGCGGGCCGCTTCGAATAGCTATAAGTTTAATAGAAATGACGATAATACGAGATCTAACACGGATAAATCGTACACGAATCGTAATTCTGCTTGGGATCAATCGAACAGAAATAAGGGCCAAAGTCAGAGGTGGGACAATAATAAAGGGCATGACGGTACCTCTAAGTATAATCCAGAAGATACCTTTACAAAAAACTATACCGATTCAAGGGTAAGGAAACGGCCACACGATGACCATGACTCGTCTCGCAGTGGTCCAGGCCCTGCTAAATTTCAGCGGAGCGCCACGTTTCGTAATCCATCAACCACTACGCCTGAAGCACAATCATCTTATTCAAATTTTTATGGCCAACATACTACTGAGGATTCTAAACCGAATGTACAGAACCGATACGTTTGCAGTACAACAACCGACATAAAACCTGTGATGCAAAATGTGAAGAAACCAGTATTTGAACTGACACCACAAGAGGCAGCTATAAAAGCAGCCAACAAAGATGAATCAAACCGAGCCTTAGTGGTATTTGAGCTTGGCGTAGAATTGTTAAATTTAAATGGCATTCCGCAAGTTGGTAAAAAGAGAGCTGGGTTCGTAAAAATAAAGAAAGTTATTCGTAAGCGACTCGACGAAATATTGGATACAACTGGATTGGAACCGAATGAGATGAAGGATAGGTATATTAAGAGATACCCCTTCAGTGGTGATCATCAGCTTGCTGCAGTATATTCCAATCCGCAAGAAGCATTCCCAGCTTTCCTTACAGGTAAACAATTGATACGTTTCTGTTGAAACATAATTAAAATATAATAAATGTCGTATTTTTTGTGATGGCAACAATTTAACCGGACAACGCATGTTACCCACAAAGAGTAAGATATTCATCATATTTTAATCATAAATCAATAAACATAGAGTTAGTAACAAGGAATTAATCATATTATGTCTTAAACTACCTGCTACCCGCGACTTTGACTGCATGGAATTGAACTATTTTATTATTGAAATGAATACAATTTCTAAAATATCATTTATATCAGATATATACTCGGTTTCAGAGATTAGCAAGAACAGACAGACAGATGACTGATGACAGAAAGAATTAAATTAATATTTTTACACTGTTATATAATTCAAATTTATAGATTAATTTAAAACAGTAAATTGTCAGACCAGGATAATATTGAGTAACAAAGTTTTTATAATAAATTAATTAATACCGTAAACATAAGGAACTAATTTAAAGAAAGAAGTTGGTCACACTACTTACAAACAGAAAAAATCAACCAATATTTTTTTTCCTTTGTATTAGTAAATAGGTATTGAATATTTTATTAGTAAATAATTTCGTGATTATTGATTATTAAATAATCATAGAAGATATTATTGTTGTTGTTTGTTGTTGTTATTATTATTATTATTAATATAAAACGAAATTGTGTTACATATGAAATTAACTCTTGAGTATTTTCACTTTAAAAATATCAAAAATTTGCAAATACTTAATAGTACCGTAATACAGGTAGGTTGGTACTGGTGTTTGCGCTGAATAAAAGCTTTTACTTTTGTTATCCAGTTGCATATTTTTGCCACCTTAAATCTGTGCAAAGGACTACACGAGTGCTGTAGAACAGTGTGCTTAAAACAGGCGTAAGAAGTGAAGGTGGGAAAATTCTGTGGTGGGTTATTAGTGAAATATTTGCCACATTCGACTCCTCTCAGACAGACGAATTAACTAGTCGTTTGACCCCTCAAATCACTTCTTAATTGTACCTTTTGTACAGATTCAGGCAGTGCAAACAGAAAACGCTGTATTAAAATCGCTTCAAAGGAAGATATATAAAACTTGACGATATTCAGTCAAATATGTTTATAATATGTACGTGCTATAACAATATGCATATTATAAGCATTTTTAGTTGATGAACCATTGGAGCCACCAATTGGAGCATAGGAGACCTATGCCAAAAGTACTCCAAATTACGGGACATTTACAACCCCAACTTTGGGAAAAAGGCTTCAACTATGAACCGTTACGGGACTTAGTTTAAAAAAAAGGAGTAGCAATTTTATACAATGTAAAACGAGCTTAAGATGCTAGTGGAATATCACTCGCCAAGAAGCTCAATTGTAGTGCAACTCGGCTTGATTATGTATATTTATGCATAATTGGGCATTTCACTGAGATAGACAAGCAGTTTATTTTGTAAGCTGTGTTTTGGTTGAAGCCACGAAATGTTAATTTCTAAAATGACAACGCATCTGAGTGGTATCGCTAGCGTCACATAACGTGATACCGTAGTATTGTCCAAGTGTACGACGGTTACCACTGACCATCAATAGGGCCGTCAGCTTGTTTGCCATTCATAAAAATAATCAGCATTACATTAAAGTAATAGCGAACTGGCGAATGCGGAATGTGTGCCAACCAAAATAATCGCAAACTTTTGACATACATAAATTTGCCAAATATTCCCAAGATTTGGCTTACGTATGTAATCTTGGCGAGCTGAAGCTGTGATACCTATATTCTCCAATACAGACAAAGACTCTGATAATTTTTCTCTGTGCCCTCTGGGAGATTATCTTCAGAGATATTGCCCAGAGTTACATGAAGAAGGTTGCCTATATCATGATCAAATAGATTATGTTATTGATTTGAAGCTTTGAAGCACTGATAAACTGGGAAGGTTTTGAAGACTTAATGCCAGTTTCGTTTTATTGTCTTAAATCTCATATCGGATACTTAGTTGCTCGAAACATATTACAAAGATTAATCTTGTCTTCAAAAAGACGGTATTAGTTTTACACTTAGATTAAATATTATTCTTAAGTTCCATCTACCATTCTACCATTCTTTCATATTGTAGATATACAAGCTGACAATGGAAGAAAGTCCCGTCCATTTTAAGGTTGTTATCGAAACTTGAAACTGTCTCATAATCAAAATTTTGTATTGTATTTTATAATACAGATTGTATCTATAATTTGATCATTTTCTTATACTCTTTCATATAAACTTTAACATTATTATATCTTGAACTTGAACTAGACGAAAATCATTGTATGTCAAGTATGGTTTAATTATTTGTTTATACCACAATAATGCTAACAAGCTTCACTGAGTTTCAATTTAATAGTAGAAAACCAATTGAGGCCTTTAATAGGATTGTCACAAATACTAAACTATTATTTATTATGCCTGTATTTATTAAAATAAATGTATTTAATTGTTTAGTATCCGTAGTACAAGCTCAGCTTAGTTTTAGACTGAATAGTGCTGGTGAATTCTCCTGAGGAAGGATTTTCTAATCTAGATTATAATATATTTTTGTGCGTAATACATTAAAAAACATATTATTATATTAGTTCAAAGAAGTCTCCAGCAAATACATAGTTGATATACAAATATCTTTTCGCATAACAATGATTAAATAATGCTAAACATTTTCAGATCAAAAATCAGATGTAGATAAAAAGTTGTTCACGAAAGGTGATGAAATAATATACCAAGGTCAAATTTCAACCAAACAACCACAATTGAATTCTACACCTGTAGTAAATCAGTTTACGTCCAACATTGCAAGTGCATCCAATGAATCTTTTCTGATGCCAGTCGTTAAGAAGGAGAGACCGGCTCCCATAAGCTGGGTCATTAAGACGCCGTTTGCACCAAAGAAACCTCCAAAGAAGGGATACACACTTCCCACAGCCTTCTTGATGCCAGGTTAGTAACATTAAAGAATGTCTAGTAAAAGTCGTCTCTAAAGGTTTATTCTTTGTAGCCGCCAATCATCTTGATTTCTGTCGTCAATCAGCTTGCCTTATAGGCTATTTAAGAGTGTAGTGAAACTACAGCAGTGATGGATTTAGCCTAATAACAAATTTTACAAGCACCGCGCAATATGGCACCCACATTATCGCTACTGTCTAAGAATAATACAAGAAAAATATATTTTTTTAATTTGTCAATGTTTATACAGAGTATAAGATTTCTAATTTGTTACAGTGGTTTTTTTTAAAGCTAAAAGTTACGAACCGAAATCAGTTTTGGACTGCAATATGATAATGATGAAAATCTGAATTCGGCTAAAATATATTCTGTATTAATTAGGATATAGTCTATCATTGTCATTCTAATCTCAAAAATGGTTGTAACTCTTTTAATAAAACAAAGAGTAGCAAACCATCCATCTTTACAAACAGGGCTGACAAAATTTAAACATTCAACATCATACGAAGATATAAAAAATCGTATAAAATTTTGTAAACTTGCCCAATTTGGCTCTTCAGTCTGTTTACATCATAGTATATTGACCAGTTGTAGCAGTTTAAAATGTAGTACTTGTACGGGGGTAGTTAATAATCTCGTATTTGTACAAGGTTTTGTCATAGATTTGATATCCCTGCTTACAAACTTTCATGAATATAGTACTATCTGTACGTACGTCCAATTTCATTAGAATTGTTCAGCTGGGTAATCTTAAAATGATGACAAACAGACTGAAAGTCTAACTTTCTATTATTAGTTGGAAATATGGATTTCTTGTCTACGTCATTTCTAAATATGCCTTTGTTTTGTTTGCAGATAAAAAGAGTGTTATTGGTAAGTGTTAATCCTTATAATCTGGGCGCATAACCTTTTGGAAGTAAGACAATTGAATTTAGCAGCAAACTAAAAATTAAAATATATAAAATGATAATATATACGTTGACATTAGAAAAATTCCTGATATATATTCTATAAAAATGTACAAACAATTCATTCTACGATTATTATACATTCACATCTACATATTCATTATTGCCTTTTGACAATTTTATTAACATCCGTCATAATAAAAATACTTAGATTATAAAATGTGAAGTCACGAAATTTAGGTCACTTCCTACCCTGCAGTCCTTTCCTCTTTTACTAGTAATATTAGGAACATGCGCACGACACGTCCATTTCGTTCGGGGTTGGTACGTTCCTTTTTTTTTGTCCGAGTCACTGTTCATACATCGCTATTTTATGCCCCACCCCACTCGAAAAACCGGAAGTGATAACTCATAATTTATGGATATGCCTTAATTTTTATTTTAATGATCACCAGCACAAAAGCAGCAAATGAAAAAGGAATTTTTATCGGTTCACGGCTACGAGCTAACACCAAATCTGAAGAAGGCATTGGACAAAGAGATGAAAACTATATCAGATTTGGTAAGTGGACTACCTGTATGTTGTCTATGTTATTTAGTGGGTGTCCATTTCATTACTTATGGATTTATTTTATTTTCTTTAGCTCCGCTTGTTATTGGCAGCTTGTCCACCATTCTTTTATAAGTATTTAACACATTTGACTTATTTGTGTGCCCTCTTCGAAATTATTACCGTTTTTTAATAAATAGTTGTTGTGTTTCCGCTCCAGTCATACAGCTATCACTAGCATTGTTAGACCATAAATTCGGTGTCGTAGTCTGGTCGCCGAACAATCAACAGTAGGCTTTCAAATATCCAAACTCTATTAATTCCCTGATAACGCTCGTTCTTGAGCCGAAATACTTGTCTAAATACGGGTGTAAGATGAGATCCAATAACCGTACCAATTTAATCACTAATAGGGAAGGTCATAACGCTTGCAGTATCGGTGGTCAATATTCCGCACTAAATATTCGCAACCTTAATAAAATGTGACGTAAAGACGGATATATATTATATTTAATTTTAAAAATCAATCCAGACGGGTAGCTGTCTGTCTAATATTATAAAGAATGAGTATGGATGTCCGTGGAATGTCTGGTATTACGGATCCGATTTTGAAAATTATTTTTGTGTTGAATTGACCATTTATCGATGAAATTTATAGGCTATGTTACGCTACGACAATAACGCCAATAGGAGCAAACCAGCAATGAAAAGTATTCCAAAATTGGGTAGAAAGTGGTGCAGACGAACTTGCGCCGGTCAACTAGTATTTAAAAAGGGTTTGATCTTTAATAATTTATGTGCTACCTTACAGTTCCTGTCGGTGTGTAAGATCACTAAAGATAACTTGGACGAGGCTCAGGGGATCAAGAAAGTCGTCAACACTTTAGGTGAATGTGAAAAGGTGAGGCTTTAATAATCAATAATATTCGACACACGCTCACGACTCGTCTGTTCCGTTCGCGGGCAGCTCGTGTAATGCCATTTTTACGCAAGTCACTGTTCATAGGCCGCCATTTTGTGGCCCACTACTCTAGATAAACCGGAAGTGATAATAATAATCTTGGCCATTTCACACAGCGCTGTCTAGTCCCAAACTAAGCAGAGCTTGTAGTATTACTTATACTACAAGTAAACAACAAATAGTTAATACTTAAATGATATTTTTTGTAAATACATGTATACATATATCCAAATCAATACAAACAGTGATAGTCGTGAATACAAATATTTGCACGGTACGAAGAATCGAACTTATAAGATTTTTACTTAATGACTATTCAAAAGTGCTTCAATGTAATAAACTTACATTGAAGCACTTTTGAATAGTCATTAATTTTTTTTAATCTACCGCTCGTTCGGAAAGCTGTCTCATCACAAGAAGAACGAGCAAGAAACTTGCGTGTTGCTCTTTTAAATAATTTTATTATTACTTTACATTTTTAAGTTTAAGTGTTTGATACAAACCACCAATTAGCACTATCGGGTATAAACACGAAACCTGTGACACGAGAATTTTATATATTAGAAGATTACGATTTACCACTCCGTTTAATTGATAAATAATGTAATTTATTTACAGGCAATAAAACTACATTTAATAAAGCGTTTGCTAGACATCCGCACAAGTCTGTCCCTTCGCATTTTCACCTATGGAAAGAGACCGTCGCGTGAGGCCGTAGCCAAATTCCTGGCCCCGTATGGTGTAGTTTCCTTAAAGAAGGCCGGAAATAATAAGGATTTCCTTGTAGCTTCCTGTGACTCGTATCAGAGTTTTGACAAGCTTTCCTCATGGGGAACCGTATCAATGGTTGCAGGTAAGAGTTAAATGATGTCTGGTCTGTCGGTCATCAGTTTTGGTTTTTCATCACCGAAAGTCACCAATAATATAGCAAGTTAATCTAAAATATGTCAGTAGGCGCGCATGACTTTTTTTTATGTGTAGAAAATCTTCAAAAGATCGTCACCCCGCCGGAGGGACGGCGGGGCGGTTTGTGAGACTTTTACTCACCAAAAATAAAACGGTGTACCTACGAGCGGCTATATCGGAGCCACGGCGGCGACGGCCCGCCCTGTAGGTGTTGTAGGGCAGGTCCCATCTCGTTACGGTTAGGGTCACGTATGTCGCCCTACTCCATTATGGAGGCGTGTTGGTACACGCGCACATCTCCGGGCCATTGGATTGGGGGACTGCCTAGGCTCGCCCCCTGCCATTTTGGATTTATATCCTATACCTATACCTGCCATATGGATACAGATTTAATTAGTGTATAACAATTTTCGTGTGAGGCTCGGCGTGAGGATCTCAGTGTTTTATGGTGTGAGTTAAGAGCCCTCTTATGGAAAGCCCCGGATTGGTTGGCCTGTTCCTACAGTGGTGGCATTGTTTGCAGTGATTGCCATTGAATGTGCAAAATATGTAATGTCACAATAGGTTCGGACAAACGCCTGACATTACTAATAATCCCCTCCAAAATTATTAATTGAAATTAATATTTTTCAGGACAAACAACAATATCCGTCAAACCTCTGCACTTAACTATGCCAATTAAGTATTGGAACAAACATCTTGAGAGGGCAGTCTCAGAATACAACCCTCCTGGAAGTGTCAAAGAAAATGTAGAATTTGATAAAGACCTACACATAAATAATCAATCAATTGATTTAACTAATAGTGCAGACAGTGTCAATAAAAGTGGAGATTCCAAAAGTGTACAGATGAATGAAGATGTGATTGAAATTGCAGATTCAAATAGTCAAGAAGTAATTGATGTCGACGCTTTAAATAGGGAACCAAAAATAGAAAATGAAGACAAAGACAATGCAAGTGCAGCCGTAGTTGAGAATAAAAGCGAGATTGTTAGAGACTGCACTGACAATAAATATGATATTAGCTGCGATCGTGCCATCGACGAAATATCTATAAAAGACGATGCCGTCATTGGAGAATGTACAAAGGTTAAAAATTACAAGACCAATGTAATTGATAATCACGATTTTACTGAAGATATTGATGATATTGAAGTAAATGAGGAAGACTTAGAAGATTATTGACATAAATACTGTTGGTAAACTATTGAAAGACTAACGTTTTTGTTGTGTGATCGATGGACGCAGTTTTGTGTTTACTGAATTCATAGATGCAGTATGATTTAATTTGTGGGCTCGGTATCATGACTAGTGATTATTATAATAATAAGTACTGTATTTAGTTTCATTTGAATTATTCTAGATTAAATCTCAACTATTATTAGTATAGTTTAGTATTATTGGCCACATAAAATAATGTTATTATTTTATTCATCACATTTACTGTTTTTATAACACAAATAAGAAAACTGCCAAGCGGTTTGATTTGTAAACAGTATTAGGGTTGAAGAATGAAATTACAGGATGCACATGATATCTTAGTTCTATGGAATCCCAACGGGTCAGTAGTATCACAGGCATCACGTGATAATGTGATGGCCATAGAGTTGTTTATGTATATAGGTGATAGTTACCAGTTACTATCAGGTGATTTGTCAGCTTGTTTGCCATTCTAATAACATTAGAAAATATTACTTTCCGAACAAGGGGACTTGTATATTGACATCTGAAGCATTTTAAACATTTATATTTTATAATTTAAACATTTATATTATATATTTTTATTTATATAAATATGACAATGTTTGCATGGCAATAGTTGTTCATGCACGGGATTTTCATTTAATGTTAGACATAGGCATCTATGGAAGTATATGTATAATCTAAATAAACTGGCTTTAAAAAAAAGAAATTCAGTTGAATTTCTTGCCAGTTCTTCTCAATTGAATCTATATACTGAATTTGATGGTAGGGAAAAATGTTAATACAAAAATTTGATGTTCATAAGCGGCAAAAATTTCGTAGATGAATAAATGATTTCTGATTTACTGCAAAAATATGTGGCTGAAGTTAGTTCTAAGGTGATTATTTGTAATTAAAACTGATAATATACAAAGTATAACAGAATTAATACAATTACAATATTCAATCAGCTACTGTATCGGTGTCTACTTTATATTACATTATATGATACGTTTCATTTTATCTATACATTTAAATAAAATTGGAGTGTCTGTTTATAATATTGAAATTTTATGGGCAGTTTTCTGATGTAATAAAAAATAATTTAGGCTACTTTTATTTTAGAATAATAAGGTTAAATTCCACGCGGACGAAGGCGCGGGTTCAGCTAGTTATAAATAAAAATTTAATTAGGTATATCCATTGGTGTCATAACAAGTTTAATCTTTAAAATAGAAGCAAGTCGAAATCAAGTAAAAATAATATCTGTAGTTAATAGTTCGTCTACATATTTCAGTTGTTAAAAAATAACTGAAATATGTAGACGATACTGGGTGATACTTTTTTTAATAATATTTAGCGCAGATCACGTATTTGGCTTGTTTTAGATGCAGAATTATAAAAAATACCTAGTTAGTTTGTTACTTACTTTTAATATGATTTCTAAATGTATCTGGGTAAGGATTTCTGTTATAGAATTATTTAGATATTTGAACTAATGTATTTTCTATTATATGTATTGTTATTTAGATTAGCGAGTAAGTAGGTAACATATTATGACACTATAGTAATAGCAGTCATTAACTGTATCTAATCATAAGTTTCATAAATACATGAATAAAACATGTCAACATTACGAAGGAAATTGAAAATGTTTCATTTATAATCCATATTTGTGGCTATAAATCATTGATGAAAAATTAATGTTCAATCGAAAATTGTTTTTTTATTCGACATGATTTTTTTTTATATTTAATATGATTTTTACTAGAAAGAGGGGACGGAGTATTAAGGTTTAAAGGCCCCTTTACTCGCAATGCATCAGGTTGACCTTCCACTGGTTCTCCGTGGAAACCATTGTGGTGGATTTCTAGTGAGTTTATCACTATGGACTGATTTCACTCTGCTTATCGTATCATCTACGACTATCATCCACGGTGCCCTACCACTGTATACCGTTAGCGAAGGCTGGTTTTCCATTTAACAACCAATCAAAAAAGTAACTACAGTTTCGGTATGAACTGAAACCTTTTGTATAATCTATTAGTAAATTTATAAAATTAATAAAACATTTAATATAGTTGTTGTAGTAGGCTTGAAGTCTATGTGGCAAGAACAAGCCTTGATATATTTACTTTAAGCTTTGTAACAAGCTAAGCAAAGTTTATATTCTGAGCACTATAAATACAGTTTTTTAATGTGCTATGTACATACAAAATGTCTATGAAAGACTAATCATTAAAATTTATAAATTATATTTCTAGATATCTTGCAATCATCAATTATCGATTAATAATCGATTGGGTATCGAACTAACTAATTGTTTATTTATTTCACACCACTAGTCGTCGCGGATCTGTGGTCTGTCTTGGTATATTTAATTTACTCTTTGGTCTGAAGTGCACTTGCGATCAGTTGGTTTCTATGTGGGAAAATAAAATTAGTGTAGAAGGCATAAGGCAAGTATACACATACCTACATATACTAAGCATAACAGAGTGAAAGATTCTGTTTGAACAAATTGTTACTATGTAATGGACAAACACTATTATATATATATATAATAAATAAAGTCAATATGAGTCATATTTGGCCTGCTGGATTTTGTAGTAGATTAAAAGTGCTTAGTGCCATAGAGTCAGTGGATTTTACAAACCACAGAGTAAAATTTCTATATAAGGGTGTGCCTACAAGAGAATACTAGACGAAGACATTATTATAGAATTCTAATGAACATGACCTACCATTTATTTAAATTATTATTACCTAAATTTATTTTGTTACCAAATATGTAAACTCCATTATAACGAATTTAACTATCACAAACCTGAAAATAAATTAAATAATTACTAACTGAAAGAGTCTTATGTATTTATCATATAGATTCTATCAGCCGAACGGTAACTGGAAGTACCAAGTTGTATGTATGTCATATTAAGCTCGAGAGTTTCTAGATTTTTTTGGCCTACTAACAAAAAGAACGCAAAAGTCTTACCTATTCCACAATACTAAATAAATTGTCATCCATATTTCAATATTTATATTAAAACATTTCATTTCATATTAAGTTAATGTAAACTAGTTTTATATAGTTTTTTTTTGTGTATATGTATATATATGTTGTTTTTTTATCCAAACATTGTTAACCTTCACTTTGAATTACATTTCTTTATGCAATATTAACTCATATGTTAAATTTGTTCTTACAGATTCACCTTTGTTATTGAAAAGCACATTTAACAAATCATTCATTCCCAATCATGAGTCGTATAGAGACTTACGTATTCTTTGACATAGAAACAACGGGATTGCCAAAAGAAGAAAAGAATCATACAAAAATAACGGAACTCTGTTTTATTGTTGTATCTAGAAATGATATAGAAATTACGAAATATGGGGATATCCCACCTGTTTCCAAATTATGCCTGCTTTTTAATCCAGAGAGAGAAGTAAATCCGACAGCAGCACACATAACTGGACTCACAAAAGAGTATTTAAAAAACTGTAGTACATTTTCTCAAAAAGTAGATACCATTAACACATTTTTAGGTGACCTAAAAAAGCCTATCTGTTTAATTGCTCATAACGGAAATTCTTTTGATTTTAAGATTTTATTGATGGAATTTGAAAATGCTAAGAGATCTCTTCCCAAAGATCTGCTTTGTGTGGATTCTCTAGTTGGCATCAGAAAATTGTTGAAAGGCACGCAAATAAATTATAAGGAGTTATCGAGTCACGGTGATGACGGCATCATTACGGATGACGAAGAAGATAGTTGGCCAGCTCTAAATATTAGTAATAAAGATTGGAACGACATTGATAGTTTAAGCACTTCTCTCAGTGGAATGGCGTTTGAAAACGCAAAAACTAGTTCTCCAATCCGAGAAGAATTTAATCTGGCTGCCGTATATAAAAGATTACTCAATAAGGAAATATCAAACGCTCACAGAGCTGAAGCTGATTGTTTAATGTTGGTGGAATCTGTTGTGGCAATAAAACACTTGTTTTTACCCTGGGCTGACTTACATTCTAAAAATCTTACTGAAATAAAACCTTACAAACCATATTAATATTTAAAATATTACGCAGCCAATTTCAGAGCTCAGAAGCTAAAAATCTGGTAATAATTACAGATTGCAATAATTCTCTAAATATTAAATAATTGGTTTTGATATATTTTATTGGATCACTATTTATATGTATTTTTTTTTAGTTTTTATTTCAAAGATTTATTGACATCAAGTATTAAAGAAAAGTATTTAGAATGTTGTACCTATGTACAGATGAAAGTTTATTATTCTACAGTAAATGAATAATTAATAGCCCAGCAATTGCTTGCTTGATAGTAGCAGATTTGATCTTTAGTGCATATATTTTATTACTTATTACTACTTTAATATTGACTATTAAAATGATAATTATTATTTTTAGTATTATATACTATTTTTGTTATCGCAATTTATAATTATAGCATCGTTTCATCAAACATTCATGTACAAAAGCTTTTATAATCATTGTTTTCATTTATGACATTTTATAAAAATATTACATATTGATATGACTGTGTATATTATTGTCAGCCAAATAAATTCGTTGGAGATTTCAGTATATCATTAAAAGCAAGAAATTTGCTTTCTGTATACGAAAACATTCCGTACAAATGTTGTTTTTATTACTCTGAAGTTTTCGCAGTTTGATTATTATTGTTACTAATGAACGAATTTTGATCATTTTCTTTAGAAATCAAATTATTATTGATGTTCGTGTGAACTAGGGCTTATTGCCACCCCACGTCGAATAACTTTTATATTATACAGAGAGCTAGCAATACTAAAAATAAAAATCGTAGTCACTACTATAGATTCTATAACAAATAATTTATCATCTCTACATAGTTTGTGATGACTAGAAATTAAATAAACAGATAAATGTCTTATTCATTAATGAATCAGAACAAATAAACACAGCATACATGGTTTACAAATTAAAAAATGGTAGCTTTATGCACTGCTAACATGCAATGGCAATCAACTTGGCATAAACCTGCAGCGCTGATATTTCGTTGGCTCCTATAATTAAATATTTATATATATATGTATATAATAAATGTATGTATTACACTTCGACCTGTTTAATACTTGCAATACAATATAAAACATGATATAATATAATATATAAATGAATTACAAATAAAGTCATATATTATTTGTAGCAGTTACATTTTTGTTAGTCTTTTTATTTTCTTGGTCTAAAATATTATTATATATACATATAACAATATTTTATAAAACGAACTAAAGAGCGAAAGAATTTCAAACTAGTTCCCAGAGTTCCTCTTTGCAGCTCTCTTCTAAACTCGATCGTTCGCGACTAAATTGACAGGACTAGAGCACCTATTAAAAAAAAAAGAAAAATTGTGATTGTAATTAATTTATAGTTTACCCGGCTATTCACATGTTTTAATCTAAGTCTGTTTGTGTGTCTAATATTATTTGTAAATATTACTCAGTGGAATTTGATTACAATATGCAAATAATAGCCCTTAAGGGTATTCCTTGTAAAGTAAGTAATTGTTTATAATTTAACGTATACCACTACGATCAAGTCTTTCTCGATATTATTATATCTCATAGTATATTATTCGAGACATAAATAAACTTCAATTTATATTAATGAATAATAACGGATCTTAATTATATTATTATATTATCGTTGTTATTAATTAGTGTATTTGGAACATTAATTTTGTAATTATGTTCCGACCATTTCAAAGTTACAAATTTGCAATGGTCCAAATTCAAATTCAAGTATTATTTGTTCATGTATGACATTTTAATCACTTATGCAAGTCTATTTGAACTCTCAAATAAGTCATAGAACATCTACAAATCATAGTTTTTAACCTGTTCCATACAGTAAAAAATTGTTCGTAAATCAGTTATAAAACTCCTCCCAGTGAACTCTGGAACTCTACTAATTCTGATCCACTGATATTGTATTGTGTCGCTTTGCAGCAATAGTCATGAAGGAACTATCTGATATTGTTATTCATTTATTCACTTTACTTTTGATTATGTTACAAATGTTTATGTTATTATTTTATTATATCCTTTTTGAATATCACCTCACTCACTCTATAATAATTAAATCTGTTTACTTAAGGTTGCTTTCAGCAATTATGACGGCATATTGTAATAATACTTGTGTCGTTAAGATATTGTTTATGTCTTTTCTTCATTGAATATTACAACATATATTCTGTTTCACTAAGAATGAACAATACAAAAGTGGATTGTATCAGAATCAATATTGTTTTACTCCATTTTACTTCAAAATAGACTAGTCAAAACATTACAAAGAAGAACTTTTGTAAAAGGTAAACAAATTAGTTTCTTGTTTGATGGACACATATGGATTGGTACATTATTTAAGCAGACATTTGCACCATACATGTTGTTATATTCTGATGGGGATATATTAGATGTAGGTATGATGAGTGATCTTAGGTCAGTCACCCCAATTTGGCAAATTCACTAATTCCATAGGAGATAGACCTAACATGGTACATTATCACACTGGGCCCATTAATCCCTCATTACTTATCTCCTGCCATACTAATTTATTTACATTTCAGTGGGATCAAAAATCACTGCTGAAAATGATAGGAAAAGTCATGAAGGGGCACATTCAGGGTATTGCTTTAGTTCCTGGACCCCGTTTTCAATATACTAAAATTGCCTATTTAAAAATTCCAAAGAATGTGGATGCTGGTAAATTAGTGAATGGACTTAATAGTATCAACTTTAAAAAGGCTGCAGTCATTGCTGAAGTATGTCTTACCCTTCCAAAGGTAAGTCAAATAACTTACTAATATATTTTTTTTTATTGATGATAATAGAATTATACACCCACCTGCACTAATGGTATACACTACTGGAACACCAGTGGAGGATGATAGGATGAGCATGAGGTCAGGTCAGTTAGCCTATCATATATACAATGGTTTTCAGGGGGAACCGCATGAAGGTAATTCTGATAGTAATGGAGTAATCACTCCACATTACTAACTTTAGTTCCCAACAAGTTTATGTAGATGGTCTAATAGGGAAATAAAAAAATCACTAATATATTTAATATAATTATTAATAATAATAATAAAATAATATAAATTTATTTCAGATGATTTTTCATAATTTTAGTATATTTTCAGACGCCACTAACTTGGAAGCAACCCAATGTAAGTTCGAAGTTGAAGCGTAAATTGAAAATACCAGAGAGCACCGATCCTGGTTATGTATGTATGACCCTTTATCTTTATTTTTAACTAGCTGTACCTGCGACTTCGTCTATGTGAAATTTAACTTTATTTTTTCTAAAATAAAAAAATTTTCATCAATAAAAGTTTATAAAAGTGGCCTAAGTTACTCCCTATTATATCAGGTATCTGCCAATAAAATTCCCGTTAAAATCGGTCCAACCATTTCGATATTTTACAACCATTTACTATCATCATTGGTACATTTTTAGTACAGATATTTGTTTTACATGGATTAACAGCAAGTAAGCTAATTTTTTATTTGTCATTACCTGAAATATTTATTCTTATTGTGTATTTATTTATACTTGATCCTAATAAAGTAGTGCTAGTTGCTAGTTTATATACACATTTCACATACGCCGATTTTCCGAATGAGCGGTATATTAAAAATTTGGTTATGATTATGCAAAAGTGCTAAAATTAAGTTTATTTGGATTAATGAATTTTCTATTCTATTCTAAATATTTATTATTTTCAGGTTTTAAGTACGACGCACGGCGAACTTTTGATGGAGTTGCAATACAAATACACAGGTTTAGTAGAACTCAGTGAAAAGTCAAAACATCAGCTGTTGCTGCAAATTGCACGGGTAAGATGCTTTTTGTAGTGCTTTAATATTTAATTCTACAAATATATAATTATGTATGTAATTGTCTTTTGGCGATCTATTTATAGTACATTTAAAATCAATAAAATTAATAATAAATGATAGACCGTGCTGACAGAAAGAAAAGAGGTTTTTATTTATTTTTAATTACAATAATTTTATGGCTATATTGGCTAAGTACAAAAAGAGGTTTCATGTGCTAACGAATGTTTTAATTGATAAAGATGGAATAGTGTTTCTATCGATATACTACCTATCCATTTCTACTTAATAAATCATTGTAAATAATCTAACTTAACCATGAATACGGAGACATAAACCGCGCTAGGATAAAAATTGCATGCGGCGCTGAGGACCCTAGCGCCGGTCCTGTACTATCCACTCTATATAGGAAAATACAATGTCTTTTGGCGATCTCTCAACTCTAAGATACTGAAGGTTCTAATTATTGATTATGACATTTTCAGACACTTCTCGGTCGTCTGAAGTACATCGTGGATAAAAATGGCACCGCCACCTCGCAAGGTGGTTTCCATCTAAGCAAGTTGTATCGGAAGGTGCATCCTCACGACGGGGACTTTCAGATGATATTGTCCACTTTGCACTCAATTGAAGACTCCGCCGGTATGCCTCGCTCTCAGATAGAAGAAAATGAATTGATTTCCGCTAAACTCGCCCCTAAAGGTAATAAAAGACACAGGTTTAGTTAAATATAGATTACTAGCTGACCCACGCCTATTTCGCCCAATTACCATAATTTTTAAATTATAATCTATTTATATTCTGGGGTGTAAGCTATTTTACTGTAGTTTCATCAAAATTCGTTCAGTTGTTTTTGCGTAAAAGAGTAACAAACATCCATCCATACTCACAAATGTTCGTGTTTATAATAATAATAAGATTTATATTGTTAACCACAGGAATAATTTTATGGTAAATACCTCTATTATTTATTTATTTTACGGTATGTATTTACCTCACTCGACGTTTCGACTAGCTTGCACTAGTGATCATGAGTTGACTGGAGTAACAGGGATGTCAATATTGTTAGGTGCCAGCAATTTTTCTAAAGCTAAACATTATATAACGAAAGTAGTCCTAATTCCGTAACGAACTTGTAGCCTGATTAAAGTGTGAATTAGATTATGAATTTTTATTGTATGTACCGTATTTGTATTCATATGCATGTAGTAAAAAACGGTTGTTTCAGTATTACAAACAGACACATCAATTTTATTTATATGTATAGATGTATTCTGTATGGCAATTAAAGTGTACAACAATCTTCGAAAGGATATTAAAGAACTGAGATCTCATACATTGTAGAACTGAGAAATTGATAGTTTTTACACTGACTAAAGTGAATTCGTTCATATATATTTTTTTTTGAGGGTTGATAATGGAATGGTACATCCGCCTGCGCTAACGGTTTACGCTGGCGGGGCACCAGTGGAGGATGATAAGATGAGCATGAGGTCAGGTCAGTTAGCCCATCGTAACAAATTCACCAGGAATTTAACACGATGGTTTCCAGGGGGAACCGCGTGGAGTTCGACCTGACATGGTACATTGCTAGCAATGGGGTTATCAATCCACATTACTAACAATCCCCTTCCCCTCAATACGTTCATATTGACTGTTATGGTAAATATTCCTGAGCAATAATATTTTAATGTAACATCTTATCCACTGTTTGACAGCATTGGTGGTCTAGTGCATACCGTTTTACTATCTGATGGTCATGGGTTCGATTCCTCGCATGATACAAAAAATTGTTTTCATGAATATGATTGTTTGTATCGGTCTGGGTGTTATCTATGTATAATCTGTATTTATTTACAGAAACAAAAAAATCAAATTTATATCAGGTGTTTGTTGTATCACACAAGCTTTGCTTTGCTTGGGACTAGATTACGTTGTGTGAACTGTTCTGAGATATTATTATTATTACTGTACCAATAATTAGCAATAAAATTATTTCATTTCATAGTCAAAATAAAAAGGTTTATATTTATTTCAGATGTTGAAAATATATCTACAGAAAGAATGATACAATTAAGAAATAAATACTCAGATAAAATAACGAACAAGGTAAATAACATAAAGTTTTTGATAGTAAGTTAGTAATTCTTACTTTCTTTATCACTTAGGGGTATAAGAAATAGATAGTAGCCGATTCTCTGACCTACTGAATATGCATAGAAAATTTCCTAAAAATCCGAAACCCGTTTCGGAGGAGTATTGTAACTAACATTGTGAGACGAGAATAAGATTGGAGAAAAAAAAATGTCGTAACTGAATTATTGGAGGGAAAATACAATAGTTTTACAATATAATCAGAACATCAAAACAAATGTATAATAAAAACATCCTATGACTAAAGATTATGAATATATGTTTACATTTCAGATCGTTGAACATATAAGCAGTTTGGACGTAGATGATCAAACGAATGTCGAAGAGCTAGGAGATGCACAGAAAAGAGTGCGTCAGGAACTCAAGAATTTGTTACAGCATATGCCTACAGTATGTACCATTATACATTAGATACTATAATATAATGTCACAGGATAATACACACAGCGCAATCTTGTGCCAAGCTGATCAGAGTTAGTGTTTATCAACATAGGGCCCACAACCCTTGTGCCCATTTGTCTTTAGTGGAATATTTACATTGTATACGTTTATACATATATACATTATATATGTATTGTATATACATTTATACATTGTTATGTTATAATTAATAGTATCTTATTGATAAAATTTATTGTGTATTCTATTATACAAATCCCATTAAATAATCACGTATTTGTCTATGTAAATATATATATATATACGTGTATAGAATGTATATTTACATGTGTGTAAAAAATATACTGTAAAAGATATATATATGTGTGTGTGTGTGTATATGTGTATATATATATTTATATGTATTCAAAACATAGAAATAGTAAATATATTGTTATTATTAATAAATTGTCTGGTAGTAGTTATTAAGTTTCTTTTTATGAATTAGTCTGTAATCCGCATATTTGTCTGTTTTTTTGCATATACTGTTTGTTATTTACCCCTTTGGATGAATAGAATGTAAAAATCAACTGTAAGTGAATACAATAGAGCCTATATTTAAATGTATCATTAGTATGAACCGAGCTGGACTCATTACCTTGCCGTAACAGTTTTTAATAAAAACTAGCACGGGGGGTAGTTTTCTTTCTTTGGTACTGGTACTGCCGTATGCTTAGTTTATTATGTACCCACTATAATTCGCAAAATAAGGATTGTGTCCAATTTAACATACAAATTATTATCTAACTACTTAGAATTATTAATAATTGTTTCATCAGTATGCATTTAATAAGGACTTAAATTTATTTTGTTACCGCACTATGTGGTTTTTATTTGTTTGTTGTTTAATATTATTTGAATTGTTTAACTATAAACTAAACGTGTACAAAACGCTGCTGTATGTACAAAGCAATTTTATTTTTGCAAGAATATTGTCAAGGCTGTACTAAATATTAGTTCAATATAAAAAATAAACAAAAAAATTTTCGAAAATTGGCGCTGCACTTGGCAATTGGAGTTCAACGTTTTCGCTCCGAGCCAGGCTTTTATTGTGAAAAGTAAATTCTTAAATATCTGTTTTATCACTACATTTAAATAATAAACTAATATAGAAAAATCTTACTTTGTATTGTTTTCTAGTGATATAATAATATAGAAAAATCTTACTTTGTATTGTTTACTAGTGATTTCTTCATGAAATATTTAAGTTTATTAAGTGAACAATTCAATGGTTTAATTTTGTATATTATGTATCTTACATTTGGGCATAAGAACTTCAGAAAGGCTAAGAGGCACAAAAAAGGTTGGGAAACTTTGTGTTAGGGGATATTTTCATATCCCTGCATATATATCCTTTCCGACTATGTAGTGTAGATAAGATAACTGTTCCATCATCCATATATTATTGGTCCAGTAAATGTTTATGTTTATTTCTTCTTTCAGATAATAAAACAGACGATAGCTGATAACACGAATGTTGATATATTAAAACATGAAAGAGCTCGGGTAAGGATTAATTAATATTAATTATTTCTCTGTACACATTGTGTCTGTGGAACTCACAACTATACTTTATATATGTAGCGCGCAATCAATAGCCATTTTAATAATAATCAGTGTCTCTATCAATAATTTTTACTACTAAAATATTTATTTATTTATTAAAACTTTAATGTAGAAATACAAAAATAATGGTGCATATGGCGGCCTTAATGCTATAAGGGATTTTGTACCAGTCGACTATAGGGCAAACATAGATTAATGGGCGGTGGATATAAGTAAATAACATGAATTAAAAATAATAAAAGGAAGGAAGTAGGTATAAATATAATAAATTAAAATATATATCCAAATGAATATATGCTTAAATATAAATACGTAATATATTTTAATAAGTACATATTCATATCATATTTATACACAATAAAAATCAACAATGAATAGTCCAGTGAAAGCGGGAGATAATTTTGTCGATGAATTAATGTTGTAAGTTTATTTACAAAAGTTATTGTAAAGATGTTTTCGTAATTTGGATTAAAAGGTAAATTTGGTCGCACTAGCCTAATGTCAAGAGGCAAAGGATTCTAAAGTCTAAAGCTGGAAAGATTTAAAGACAAAGCTTGTACGATGAGCAGGAACGTGCAAGAGTACAATCCTAGACGGACGAAGGTTACGGTGAGAGATGTCCTAAATTATCTCTTTCTTAATTGCTTTTTTTTATACAGGTGTACGGAGAGCCTTATTTACCTCTTCCAGACCAGTTGAATCAAACGTTAATGCGATTCAAAGCTACCAAAATTCACAGGTCGGACCGCCTGTATAACATACTGAGACTCAATATTCCCAAGTCGCAGTTCCAGAAATTTATGACCGTTATGGATGGTAAAGTAATAGGTAAGTACTATGAACTGACTTTTATTATGGACGATAATGTAACGGTAACTATTTTTAATTATTTCATCTGTGTACACAATAAAGAGTTTTATGATTATTATTGTACAAAGTCTGTCTGGACTAAATTATAATTGCTCTACCGCTATTTTACGACACCCATTCTTACCTGTCCTACTCATTGTTATTTTTTTATGTAATTGGATTTTCTGGTAGAGGAACGTTATATTTCATTCTTTCAATAGTGACATAACAATTAAATTCACACAGGTGGTGGAAAGCTGATAATTAGGCCTTCAGAGATGCCAGTGTTCAAAATACCACTAGATTTTATTAACGAGATGAAAGATGTCTATGGAATTGATTACAAAGATAAGTACGACATAATGGAAGATGGCATGCAAGAAGATGACGAGGGTGAGACTGGTCATGAGGAAATGGATATGCTTGAAGCTGGCAATGCTGAGCCAGAATGGAATGAGTCTTGGTAATAAATTAATAAAGATTTGTTAAAAAAACAATTACTGGCATTTTTAAAGGCTGTTTACAATGTTACATATTGTATAATTAGGATGCCTGTATGTGTTGGTGTATAATTATATTCAAGAGACATTTTAAATAAGCAAATAAATATTTACAACTAAGAATCTGAACAGTTTTAATTACATATGGACTCCTTAATTATGACATAAAAATACAGAAGCATTGTTAATTCTTTATAAAATATGCATTGTAGTTTTTCATTTCTTTCACTAAAGGGAAAGGGCTGGCGGCAGTAGTATGCGAAAAATCTTATCTATTCTACAGATGAGGCAGTAGTCTCTTATATAGAAAGTCGTGGGTATAGAATTATAATAAAAGATAAAATATTTAAAATAGTGTGTATTATGTGAGGGTATCTTCTGAGCGTATATATTCTCCAATGTCTGCTTGGTGGAAAGCAATAGTCGCTAATGGGTCTGCATGTCTACAATCTGTGGTATTCCGAGCTGCAACTCCAAATCCAATAGGTACATCTGACATAGTGTAAATAACAACACCCTGGTGTTTTGGAGTATTTTCGGTAATCCTTCCCAAACCTGTAATCATAATTAGAATATACAAAATAATACAGGAGGAATAGATTCAGCCGAGAATGAGCATGAACTTGGCTGACACATTTTAAATAAACTTACAGTTTTTTAGTTTCATGTCTGCTCTTATATCTTTATTAACCACAGGTATATACTACTATGGGTACTAAACAATTACCGAAATATATTTTTTATAAATATTTAATATCCATAGAAAACACCAGCACATTACAAATAATGATACTATCAATGTTTGCATCCTGATAGAAGAGAATCAAACCTGGAGCCATCAAGAAGTAAGGATGACTTCTTGATGAAGGTAGTATACTAAACTTCTAGACAACTGAGTTTGTCCATTCTCAAGTGAAATAAGATTGAGTTTACTCCTACTTCTAGTGAAATAGAAATATATTCTATATTCAAATAAACAACACAAGTACTTTCGAATACTCATATTTTTTTATTTTAAGAAACTTGTGTGTTGCCCTTTTTAATAATTGTTATTTTAAATAAATAATTACACAATAACAAGTAATAGGCATGTGATAATCAACATAGAAATCGCTACACACTCATTCCTGGTACAATCAGATAATATTGTCAGTGCTATGAATTTAAGTTTTGAAGTGAGATTCCTTCCTACATCTGGGAGAATAACAATTTATTATAATGAATTTGAATAAAACATACCACTTTTTATTACATGATGACCATATAGAAACTGTTGCTCTGCAGATGGTTTCACCCAAATCTTGTATGATGCATACGGAGCTATATAATTCAACGCAGTTATGTGTAACCTGAATTTATTTGTTTTTGTGAATTTCCCAAAACATGTTCCCGCTGATATCAAATGATCTGGTTTTACGGTTTGTGCCAGTTGTAATAAACGCTCCGATATGTAATAAATACGGTCTTTCTTCTCTCTAAAACAATATGTGCCATCAGGCCGGTCTATTAAAAGCTTCACATTGACACCAATACTGAAAATAAAGTTTATGTAAGTATCATTTTGATTTTTGAAAATATAATTTAAATAATAAGGTTAACCTGTAATTCTAATCTAACTTACTATTTTGTTAATTTTTCGAATAATATTCTCGTTCTTTCTTCTGATAGGACTTTCATTATGTTTCTAAATTATAAACGAAACTTTACATAAAGTTATTATAAGTTAATAAAAGTGATAACAACACGTGTGGTGCGGTTGGTAAATAATGAATGGAATTGAATTGAATGAATGATAAATTGATAAAGCTATTTTCTTAATGTTTTAGGGTTATGGATGCAAGTTCTTCAAGTCTCAGTGTTGCCGTGTTACTGTAAATAGAATACCGTGTTGCTTTTTCTGAAATATTCCTCAAAATTTGATTAATATTCTGATATTATTCTATAATAATTGAAATATTTTTTAAGATGAGGATGATATCAATGAGGATGAAAATATACGATATTAATTAATAATAAAGAATGTAATGGTCTTTTTCTCATCAGTGTCACTCAGTTGACTCAGTCACTAAGAATTAGATACATAATACTATCTCTGTCTGTGGTGGTTGTGTTGAGTTCATTTACATTCGGATTTTGTCTATAGTCCATTTCATTCTTGTTTATTTTTTTGTTTTCATTCACTTGATATCAATAGTACAAGTAAGTTATGAACCGTATACATTTATTTCGCTTAAAACTTAATTTTATTGAATATAACCTATATAAAAAGTTTAATTTAACACACTAATGACTATCACTTAAGTAAATAATAATAAAATTACAATAGTATGCTTCTAAATTTTCTAATTTATAAATAGGATATTTTTGCTTCATATAAACGAGTCGAGTTGAGCGCGCCCTTGAAAAGATGTAAACATACATAACCATAGCGTTTAGATGCATACAGTAAAGTACCTACATCATACATTACTTATATTACCATTAGTGGAAAAAAAATGAATATAATTTATTCATTAATGTAAATTATAATTATTAATAATTTATATTAACGAATAAATTCTTATTTATTTATTTATTATTATATAAGTATATCTTTTTTTTTGGGCTACTCTAATACTGTTGGCCGCAGCTGGCCTTTACAGCTTCGCCGGACGTTAGGGGGCGAGTGCAGATAGCACTCCAAACCCGCGGAAGGACTTATGGAGCGGCTACAGTACGACTTTAGTCTGAGGGCACCACTAGGGGTTCGAACCTCGGCTCAGGCCGTCGTAATTTCGATCCCCGTTTGAATTGGACGGGGGATCGATCGGAGGGGAAAGTATATCTTTAAATATTTATTTATTCTTTTGCACTCAAAATTGTATAGGTAGGTACTGGATGCCTAATGACATTCTCATAGTTAACAGTCGCGTTGATCAGAGATAATAAGGCGGTGCAATTCAATAATAATATTAAAATATATAATAAAAAGATTTATATTATACATAAAAGTAAGGATGTATTTTTTTAAATTATATATAAATACATATTAAATTTTGCTTTCGCCTACGGTTATGAAATATGAAATAAATCGGGCATGATAAAATCAAGTCGGTGGGCGAAATCGCATTGATAGGTCGTATCGTAGCGAATTAATTCGAAATTATAGCTTTAATAATGAATATATTCTTTTTACTTCCACTTTAATAATTATAATACCTCCTCTAATTAAAATTATTACTGTTTTTCCTATTATGTAGGTAGGTACCGCATGTACAGGGTAAAGGGGCCTAGCCTTTATTTAGCCACTCGGCCACTTTACTTGTTTGCTAGGTAAATAGGTAGTTGCATTTCCAGGGCCCCGACATGATTAATCCGACCCTGTCTAATGTAGGTCACCCGATAACGGTTACGGGGTTTACCATGGGAGTGGTTTTGTCCTTGCCCAAAGTAATTCTGTAAGTAATTTGCGTTGCGCACCCAGTACTATGGAAATAATTACAAAGGAGTGGCGAGTGTCCTAATTAGTATATTAATTATGTATTGTATTAATATATAAATATTTATGAGTATGGAGAATAGTACTATCCCGACGTCTCTGAAGACCATAATGGTCCTAATTTCTAATCTGTTCTACATCTAAATTCTGTAAATTTTCCACCTATGGGAACTACACACACTAGGTATGTTATACACTAGGGATGTAATATAATAAAATAAAAATCTGATAAAATGTATTATTTTATCAGATTTTTCCATCCAAGTAGATTGAAAAGAATAACCTTTAGAATGTTGTTAAAAAAATAGCACAATAACAGCATAATCACGTGTTTATGTGGTTGAGGGAAAGCAATTTTGTGTTTATGAAAAAAAAACATAATAATTTAATCGATTAGGTATTATACTATTAAAAGAATCGATTAAATAATAATAGATTTTTACATAGAGTGTCCTGTCTCTAACTCTACTATCCAAACACTTGAATATGCGATGGTACTCGAGGTTTGCCAAGCGTGTTGATGAGGCATAAAAACAATAATTATGACTAATTGTTCTTAGCCTAAAAAGTTTAGTATATTTTTACTCTGTAGTACATAGAAACAAAAGCATACGACTCTAGTCTGGACATTCGACCTTGCGATAACCAAAGTCATTACACTTTCCTTCCTCGTTTCCAACATTTGTCGGCGGCGCATGACTCAACTAGTTTGTGACGTGTTTCACGTGAATGCGTATCTGATGATCATTAAAATCTTGTTTACACTTCTCCGCATTTAACTGTTTCCCTATAACTGTCTGAAGATTTCTTTAATGGGCGATGATGAAATGGTGCTACATTGATTATATATTGTTGGAAAATGATACTATGATGAGCCTATTTTACTCTAATGACGAATTCTTGGTTAGAATTTAACCACGATGGTTTAAAGGGTGACCGTGTAGAGTTCGCCTCGACGGTTATATTGTTAGAGTGCTGTAAGTTCATCAAAAATTCAACCATCTAGAAATATTTATATATTGCACATGTTATAGGCATTCTAGTACAGTGATATACCAAACATAGGTATTTTAAGATCTTACAGTGAGCACTTGATTTTAAGACTTTAATGTCATATTCTATGGAATATTGCAACACCCGTGGTGTTGCAATTAATTTGTATATACTTATCTCATGATTGTAAATAGTAATAAATAAGTTAATTTAAATTTTACGTTCATTTCCAATATTGTCCCACAAATTCACTAATACAGTAATATCCTTTGTGCATTAGTCTTTCTTTGAGTTTATTTTTAAAATATGCTTGCTTTATTCATGCCACTGTTTGTGATCTGACTTTCTTTGTTCATTCGACGGCCTGGGTGGAGCGGTTTAGCACACTGTTTCACTTGCCATGGTCGCGTGTTCGATTTTTCTCGCCGCACACACACGTTTGTATTATTTTTTGTATAGGTCTGGGTGGTACTATCTTATTAAAAAAATATATATCTGATTGCTTAACTTGGGACTGGTTGGCGCTTTAGATAAATGGCGCTGTCTGAATTGTCTAGGGATATTAATTAGGTATCGTGTCTGTAATTAAATGCTGATTGAATTGTTAATCAGGCATTTTTGGATTTGCGACCTTTAGACTTACATTTATTAAAATATTAGGACTAAAATAGACAATATACAAGAAAATATCCAAGTAAATATCACTAAGGAAGGAGCTCAATCTATATAATCAAACGTAAGAAAACCATTGGAGATATTAAGTACAGACCGTAATAGAACGTAGACCACCTCGATGGTGTTCCGGTTTAGCACGGTCTTACCTTTAGATGGTCGCGGGTTCTTTATTTCAGACTATTAATACTGCTTGTATTGGTATAATCACAGATAACATAATATTACATAGTATACCTAATGCATATATTGCCACCCATCTTTTTATGTGAATTATGTATGTATTTACAAAAGAACAATAATGTATTGTTGTGTTGTGTTCATAAAACAAATTCTATAGGTATCTACTTAGTTTTGGATTGTATAACCTTGTATGATTCGTCCCATTTCACTTATTTATAAAAGATTTAAGATAATTGTTGTGGATAATATTATATTATAGTATGTTTATTTGTCGGTTCTATATATGCAAGAAGCTATTGCATCAACTCGTAAACTATGTGAAATATCGATTTAAAAAATGTAACATAAAATGGCTTACTTTATAATATGACTTGCCACATATAGGTATAACTTCGCCAAAATCAAGTTTGGAAAACGCGAAGGCGCTGTTTGGGTAGCAACTGGCTTAAATTGATCAGGTAAATTAGAATAGGAGTGGACTAATTATTATATACAATCATTATAGGAAAAAAAGAAGTAAGAATATAATAAAATGTAACTAAATAAAAATAATGAATGATAATTACAATTTAATGTTATTATTAACCAAAAGGATAGAAATTAGATTATAGATATAAAAATTAATCAAAGATAATAAAGTCACAAAATAAATGATAGATTAAAATTACATACATACTTTTTATACTGAAAATGTGTTTTTTTAAGTGGTCAACCATATCATGGAGGCCACAAAAATAATATACGAGGAAACCTCAAAATCAGAATATTCTGTAAACAGTTAGATATGGGTATATCCATATTCGTAGACGAAGTTAATGTGAATCATTTTAGATGCCAGACGTTATCTGCCGACCTTTGTCGAATTTTCTTCTAATCGGTCTTTACATGAAGTAAAGTTTTAAAGTTATATAGTGTGGAGAAATTTGTGCAATCCAAACAACATGGGTTACTGAAAAAATATCCAGTGTTAGTTTTTGAAAGAGTGTTAAATAGTAAACAATGTTATTATAAACACCTTCGAATCTTTGTTTCAGATAAACTGAATAAACAAATTCATTCAGTCGCGGCCAGTGATTGAGCGAGCACGCGCTATTTTAAGACGAGAATAACTGTGTGTACGTTTCGAAATATTTAGTGGAAAATGTTTAATTACTATCCGAAAAACTTTCGCGCCAATGGTTGGGGGTGGCACAGAGCTGCTACGAGATCTGTGGCTGTTAAAGGGTTTTTGGACGGTGAAAGGGGTACAGGATCTGGAGCAAGTTTACAGGGTAGTACTGACCCGTTAGTCGGTGGTTTGTACCCTGCTTTACCGACTGAAGATGATACTTTGCTGACAATAAGTGGTGGCGGAGGGAAATTGTACCCCGCGCTACCAGTGGAGGAGTATGAGAATGGACAAGTGGAGGAGGTGATAGAAAATGATTGTGCTGCTGTT